TCCGGAGGACGCTCGGGCAGCTGCATGTGGCCCGCTGGCACTCACAGGACCTGGCAGAAGGGGAAGGCGCAGCGCCCGTCTGCTCTTCGCCTCTAGTGCCCAGGCAGCTCCTCGGGGATGCGCCCGGCTCCAAGGCTGGGACAGGAACGCACCCCTGCCCCGGCTTGTCCCCTCCCGGATGGAGAAGAGCCAGGGGGGCTGGGCCGCTGCAGGCCCAGGGGGCTCCAGGCTCATTCTGGAGGGTCACCAGGGTGACACGGGAGGGCCACTGCGTGCCCTGCTGCCCACCGACAGGCCCGCCCCGAGAGCCCATCAACACAGGCTGGTCTGGAGGGCAGCAGCAGCTCAGACTGCGGCTCTGCCACTTAGCGGCTGTCGCTAGCTCAGCCTCAGCCTCTGCCCTGCGTCCTCATTGGTGGGAGGGGAGCGTGACAGCTCCGAACCCCTCCTGGGTTGTTACACAGACTCTCGTGGGCTGGGTGGTGCCCGCACGCCTTCCCAGGAACCCTCCCCAGGACCTGGCCCTCGAGACCACCTCACTCTGCTCTCCTTTGTCTTTGGTCCCTGCCATTGTCACGTTCCTAGTGCTGCGTCGGCTACCTCTTTTCCCGTGTGTGGTCAGCTAGCGGGTCAGCTCCCCAAGGCAGGGTCCCGCAGGGGGTGGTCTGTGTGCTCGTGGGGAGTGCACGCATCCAGGCCCGGGCGCCGCGGCAGGGCAAGTGCATGGTTTAATTCAGTGCGCATCACCCCAGCCCTGGTGCCCCTCCGTCATGTGCCCGGATTTGGGTGGGGCACCGCCCCACTGAACCTTCCCTTTGACTTTCTGTAAACTAGGATGGCACTTGTACCTCTGGGGTGCTTTTCAGATATAATTACACGCCGTACAGTTCCCCTGCTTAAAATGTACAATCTGGGCTTCCCTGGTGGCGCAGTGGTTAAGAATCCGCCTGCCAATGCAGGGGACACGGGTTCGAGCCCTGGTCCGGGAAGATCCCACATGCCACGGAGCAACTAAGCCCCATGAGCTGTAACTACTGAAGCCCACGTGCCTAGAGCCTGTGCTCCGCAACAAGAGAAGCCACCGCAATGCGAAGTCTGCGCACCTCAACAAAGAGTAGCCCCCGCTCACCACAGCTAGAGAAAGCCTGCGCACAGCAGCAAGACCCAATGCAGCCATTAATTAATTGATTAATTATTTTTTTTAAAAAAGGAGGGACTTCCCTGGTGGCGCAGTGGTTAAGAATCTGCCTGCCAATGCAGGGGACACGGGTCCGAGCCCTGGTCTGGGAAGATCCCACATGACGCGGAGCAACTAGGCCCGTGTGCCACAAATACTGAGCCTGCGCTCTAGAGCCCGTGAGCCACAACTGCTGAACCCCACAAGCCGCAACTACTGAAGCCCGCACTCCTAGAGCTCGCACTCCGCAACAAGAGAAGCTGCTGCAATGAGAAGCCCGCGCACCGCAACGAGGAGTGCCCCCCCCCCGCCACAACTAGAGAAAGCCCGCACGCAGCAATGAAGACCCAACGTGGCCAAAAATGAATACACAAATAAATTATTTAAAAAGAAAAAGCAAGAAAGAAATGCTTGCATTTCTTTAAAAAAAACCCCAAAAGACACAGCACACCGCCAGTCTTCATCCCTCCCCCAACCCCTGGCCACCACTAATCTGTGTTCTCTGTCGAGTTGCCTGTTCTGGACGTTTGTGTAACTGGGCTCACACGTGAGGTGGGCCTTTGTGCCCGGCTTCTTTCTCCCGGGGCTGTCGGCCAGCTCTGATGGCGTGCCACAAGCTGACCTCAGGAGAGGGTGGGCCGCGCTTCCCATTCGGCCACCCCCAAGATGGGAGTAAGGTTCCTTAGGAAAAGGGGTCCCTGGCTAAATCATTGCGGGACAGCCCTGATTAAACACCATTCAACAGGTTTATTTGACTTCAAGATTTTGACCTGTGTGCATCATTAGCTGGGAGAGGCTAATTAGCGTTCAGGTTTCCAGACCCGTTTGGCCACAAATCATCAAGAAGGCTTCATCTCCCTTTTGGAGCTGGGAGACAGAGACCCGGGATGCAGGAGGCCACAGAGCCCGCACTCCTGCTGCAAGTTTGCAGGCAGTGGTGTCAACGCAAACTGAACGGTGGTGTGCGTCCTTGAGGGAAAGAACCCAAGTGCGCGGTGTGGGCGGCCCCAAGGGGTCAATGGCTAGGTGCCCACAGAGGGTGGGCTGCTCCCCGGGCGTCTCCCGGGCCCAGCAGCCCTTCCTCAGTCCCAGTGCCAGCACCCCCCACCCAGGCCCTGGCCTCACGTGGACCATCCTTGCCTGACAGATGGGACGCCAGCTCCTGAGCTCACGCCAGCAGCTCCACGGGGCCGTTTGCCACCCTCCCTGGGTCCCCTCCCTGCTCCCTGGAGCCCCAGGAGCACTTGGCTGATGACCCTGGCACTTAGGGACCCAGTTCTCACCTGAATCCCATATCTGCTGGTTTCCAAGACTACTGATGGGCTGGAGAAACAGGAAGCCCGTCTCGCGAGGCAGGCCGTGGCTCCAGGGGGCTCTGCAGAGGGCCTGGTAGCCGCCACCTCTTGGTCCTGCTGCCTTACCCAGGCCAAGCTCACACTCTCTTGCTTCTGAGAAATCGTTTTCTTTCTAATAAGCCCTTGCCTTCTTTCCCCTGCCCCCGAGATGGCAACTCCACCAGCTAGAAGGAGGGCCTGCTCCAGAGCCCCAGCAGAGAGGGGCGGGTTTCTAGAGCTGGCAGGAACCTTGGAACGTGGTCCAGACCCCCCACTGCCCTCCTCCAGCTCTCCTCTCAGCCAGCCCCACCGGGCCCCGACTCCCCGGTTCCCAGCTCTGGGACCCCATAGGCACTGATGGGGTCATCTGCGAGGCAGGCAGGAAGCCCGGCTACACCCCTCCTCCCACTAAGGAAGGGCTGTGCCTTCGGGCTGCAGGTGGATGGGAGCCACAGGTCTCCTCAGCCATGCCAAGCAAATTCCATATGGGGAGGGGGAGGAAAAAGCCCCCACTGTTCTAGCCTGGTGGCCTTGACCTTGCATTCTTGGCCGCTTTGGCTGTCCCCCGTTTGGAACAGGGATGGAGATGGGGAGGAGCCAGGGTCCTGCTACCCAAAGTGCTCTGCGGGCAGCAGCATCGCATCACCTGGACCCGTGCTAGAAACGGGTCTCAGGACTTCCCTGGTGGCGCAGTGATTAAGAATCCGCCTGCCAGTGCAGGGGACACAGGTTCGAGCCCTGGTCCGGGAAGATCCCACATGCTGCAGAGCAACTAAGCCCGTGCGCCACAACTACGGAGCCTGCGCTCTAGAGCCCGCAAGCCACAACTACTGAGCCCGTGTGCCACAACTGCTGAAGCCCGCGTGCCTAGAGCCCATGCTCCGCAACGAGAAGCCACCACGATGAGAAGCCTGCGCACCGCAACAAAGAGAAGCCCCCGCTCGCCGCAACTAGAGAAAGCCTGCGCGCAGCAACGAAGACCCAATGCAGCCAAAAATAAATAAATAAATTTATTAAAAAGAAAAAAAAAAAAAAGAAACAGGTCTCAGCCTCTGACCCCCAGACCCACCAGGTCAGAATCCACATTTACAAGATCCTCAAGTGATTCGTGCGAAGGCAAAACGACATTCTACCTGGATGTGTGCAGAAACCTTGGGCTGGGCCCAGCAGGATGTGGACTTGTGTTCATGGGGTGCCTTGGGCAGCAGGGGCTGGAGGACTCGGGGGTCTTGCCCGCTTAGAACTGCCTGCTGAAACTGAGATAGAACAGTTTATCTCCCTGTGCTGTTTCAAGTCAAATTGAGTAGCCTCAAATTTTATTTTTAAAAAGTCAGCCAGAGGTGAAACCAGAGCAGGCCTCCAATAAAGTGTCTTGGAAAAGCCACCATTTTCCATGTTTGCCCTGAGACTCTTCAGACAGGAACCGGAACCACTATAAGGACCACGATCCTAGTGCTTCAGATACCAGAACTTTCTACTGGCTTTGAGCCGCAAGGTTTGACAGTTTACACCTGGTGACATTTAGAGAACAATTGCTGAGAAGGCTGAAGGGGAGGAAGTATTCGGTATGACCTGATATTCCATCCTCAGGCTGATCGTTCTCTCTTTTGCCAATATACCATTTGTCTGTAAAACCCTTGGGCCAAAAATAGCTGCTAGGGCTTGGTGTCATTGTGGATGAAGGGCAACTGCCCCATTTCTTTGGCTTTCAGACACCTTCATAGTGTCGCAAGGCAGTGTCATCCCAGAGGAATTCGCACAGCTCTTTAAGCCCGAATCGCTGGCCCTGGGGGGCAAGAGATGGAGCCTTGGGAAGTGACCCCCTGATGCTGCCGCAGTGGACCTCTCTGGCCAGGGCCACACCACTTAGCGGCCAGGCCAGGCCACTCTCAAGAGTGAGAGGGGGCACCGTTCGCCATCCTGCTGGGTCGGCAGGCACAAGCCGGGACTGCCCTGGGCAAAACCCAGCCCTTGGCCAAGTCCCCTGGTCACTCGGGGACCTGGCTTCTTAGGTTGCTCAGAGGAAGGAAGCAGCAGAGAAGAGGTGAAGAGGACACCAGGTGCCACTTCCTAGGCATCTGTGCTGGCCAGGACTCGCTGCCCACAGTGTGGTCACTCACTCCTGGTAAAGTGGCCTTCTCAAGGTCACCCAGCCAGCACGGTGCTTGTCCCCACTTCCCTTCGGGGCAGAGACGGACAGCAGCTGGCATTCCCTGGGAGTGGCGCAAACGTGGGGGTCCCTTTTCCTTGCGCTGGCTCGGCTCTGCTTTAGGCCTCCCCTCCCGCGTTTCATCATCAACTGTGTTTTCCGCTGAAGTTCATCACCCAAATGGCGCTGGGCTCAGCATTTGGCCTGCTGTGGAAGGTGACACGGGGAGGGATGCTCGCTGTGGGCTGTCAGGAAGCTGGGGCCGGGGCGGGGCAGGGCCCAGGCTCCGCTGCAGTCACAGGTTCTCTAACCTGCCTGCTTCTCTGTGTGTGGTCCGCAGCCCGAGACTGAGGACGAGAAGAAGCGCTTTGAGGAAGGCAAAGGGCGGTACCTGCAGATGAAGGCAAAACGACAGGGTCAAGTGGAGCCTCAGCCCTAGACGCCCCCTCCTACCGCTGGGGCCTGGAGCAGCCCCCAGCGTCTCATCATTTAGAAGTTACCCCTTGGCCAAAACCCCAGTTCACGTTGACAGCTGGTGTTGTGTGAAGTATTCGTCTCGCAGTGTTAACCTGTGTTAACCTCTCCTGGAAACCTATACACCAAAGCTTTATTTATATCATCCCAGTGTAAATGCTACACAGTATTGTCCCGACGCCCCAAGGCATTCCCTGGAAACCCTGGGGAATACTGGGGCGCACGCTGTATGGTATGGAAAGAGCCCAGCATCACTAATAAAGCTGCTGTTTGGCTGGACCTTGGTCTGGGTGGTTGCTTGTCTTGGGCGGCTGCTCTCCCCGGGGTGTTGGGGGCGGTGGGCTCCCACGGGTCCCCCCCTTCCTCAGGGCCACCCCCCCCCCCCCCCGGTGCCTGTACCTGCACGTACCCCAGAACCTTGGGCACAGCGGCACCCACTTGTGTTTGCCCAACGGCTTGCTGGACAGAGAGAGAGCACCACTTCCTCCCTTCCCACCCTTCAACCCCCTCCTGGGCCCTGGTTCCGTGTCCTGGCTCTGAGGCCCCAACCAGTGTCCCGCTGGCCTTCCTGTCGATGGGGCTGGGGTGCTTTTGTGAGGACTCAGGCAAGGAGGTGGGCAGAAAGAGCCGGGCTCAGCCAGACCAGACCACAGCTCAGCATGGGGCAGGCCTGCCCTGGGCCTGGCCTCTGCTCCCTGGAGGCAGCTGAGACACCTTGGAGCAAGAGGCAGGGATCCTGCTGGAGGGAGCCTCCCCAGCTGGTGCCAGGGCCCCTGTGCCCGATGTGGGAACCCCCAGCCACTCGGGCAGGGGCGTTATTGGGAAGGCTCGTGGGGTGGGGGTCCGAGGGGCAGTGTGTGTGTGTGTGCGTGCACGCGTGTGCACGTGTGTCGGCATCCCTGTCTCTGCACACATGTGTGCGCACATGTGAAGTATGAGGCTGTGTGTGTGCACCTGGTCCAGCAGCCTCAGGGCAGATACGCTGCCAAGGCCACTCCAGCCCCCCAGCCCCAGCCCCAGCTGAGAAAGGCCCCTGCACCAAGCACTGGCAGTCACCATCGCCTAGGAGAACGCTCCTGACCCAGGCTGGTCCCCGAAGCCTGGGATGAGACTGGCCACCAACAACTACGGCCTCATGCAGGGCTCCCTCGGGCCCCGACAGAGAGAACGTGGCTCCAGATGTGCAGAAACGCCCGCCAGGACCTCCGGAATCCGTCTCGGGCCCCAGTCCTGGCTGACGGGGTTATTTCCTGCCTGGGAGCAGTGGGGGGGAACAGACCACAGGAGGCCACGGCAGCCCCACCCTGCTCCCTGGCCCCCTGGAGGCTGCCTCAGCCTCCCCAGCTCCACCCACACCCTGTGCCAACTTCCTGAAGGCTATAGGCGGTGCCCTGGGCAGGGAGTGGTGCGGAGGCGAGCCAGCCCAGGCCGGCCAAAGCCTTGGTCTGAGAAACCAGAGTCGGCCACGCCGGCCCCAAAGTGCCTGGGCCCTGGGGCTCCCCACGGTGGCCATCGGAAGCTAATCTCCCACCTGCCCCCAGAGCAAGCTAAGCCAGGGGCAGGGGCACTAGTACAGGTGGCCGTGGTGAGCTGGGCTCGCTCGTGGAGGTGCACTTGGGGCCACAGGCGTGGGGCAGGCTGCCTTCTGCCAGCTGGGCAGCGGCCTGGCCCATGCTCTGGATGGCTGGATTGCCTGTTTGCCTTAGAAATGCCACACTTGACTACCAGCTACCCTGTGTCAGCCTCCTACTGCTGATGCCCTGTTTACAACCAGGGTCACATGGGCAGGGAGCTGGCCTGTCCACGGAGAGCTCATCAGGGGCCCTGACCACCCAGAAGCCACACACAGGGAGCGCATGGCCCAGGACTCGCCATTCACCAGCTCTGCTTCATTGTGGAACCTTTGCTATACAAACACTTTGACTTTTGTCTGAGACTGATCCTGGGGACTTCCCTGGCAGTCTAGTGGTTAAGACTCCACGCTTCCAAAGCAGTGGGTGCGGGTTTGATCCCTGGTCGTGGAACTAAGATCCCACGTGCCGTGCAGCGCGGTCAAAAAAAAAAAAAAAAAAACAAACCTGATCCCAAGACTCACTCTGGGCCCCCTAAAAGCTGCTTCTAACTCCTCAGCTGTTTCTGGGGTGTGGAGGAGATGGTGTAGGTGGGCACAGAAGCCAGGCTATGGAGTGGTACAGGCAGCACTGGCTGCATTTTGTTGAGTCCAGTCCCGAGCAGATGCCCGCCTTCCTCCAGACACAGGGCTGGGCACTCGTGGGTGCTCCCGGTTGTGGGGCAGGACAGTGCCCTGCGGGGCAGTCCAGAGCGACTCCAGAGGCCTTTCGTCCGGGGTGTGTGTGGTCCCTGGCTTTCTAGAAGAGGCAGGCAGGATCCTCTGACTGGATGGGAGGCCAGGATGCCAGAGGCCACTCTCTCTTGTGACTTGGGTCTCCAGAGAACCCCATCAAGGGGACTAATGGGTTTCCCCACCTAGCCTAGAGGTGACAGCCTGTGCCCTGCTAGGAGTGCTAAGTGGAGGGCAAGCTCCTGAGGGAGGGAAGAGAGAGGGCCAGGGGTGTCAGGTCGCAGGTCCTGGCCTCTCCCAGCTGCCTGGTCGTGGTCTCAGCTTCACAGAGAACACTTCGGAGCCCATGGGGGGAGGGACAACCACCCGGCAGGCGGCCCAGTGGTCCATTCACTTGGTTCCCGCGGTGGAACCCCCGCCCCCCCAAAGGCCCGAGGGTAAGTCTGAATCCTTAGCTGACCCAACCTCACCTCTTCCTGCCCTGGCTCCCCCCCATAAACGACTCCCCAATTTCTAGAGGCCACCAGTCCTCAGGGCCCCCAAGTCCTCCTTACGCCCCGCCCCTATAGTTCACCTTAGATGTGACTTCCTTCAGTAAGGCCTCACTGAGCCCCCCACCGCCGGCCCTAAGTCCCCAGTGTCCATTCCTGCCCCAGGCCCCCCTGGCCTAGGTCTTCCCCAGGAGGCTCGCAGCCAGCGTCGGGAGTATGGACAGACCCGAGTCGGCAGCGAGAGGCCCAAGCTTGATCCAGGCGTCGCGGGAGGCGCCGCCCTCCCTAGGGGTCTTCGGCCGGGAGGCGCGGATGCGGAGGGCGCGCCCCCGCGGGTACGAGACAAACGCGCGGCAGACACACAAACACACGCGGCGGGCCGCGTCTCCGAGGGGAGGGCTGGGCGGTCCGAGAGGCGGTGTGGAGACGCCCTCGGAGGCCTGCGCCCTGCTCCGCCCCCCGCCCCCGGCCGCCCGGGCGCAGCCAGCCGAGCGGCGGGATCGGAGCGCGGCTGCGGCGGCGGCGCGAAGGGAGGAGAGAGGGAGGGAGGGAGGGAGAGAGGGACGGAGGGAGGGAGGGGCGGCGGGGCCGAGCCGAGACGAGCGGGACGCGCAGGCCACGGGCGGCCGCCGCCAGGATGCCCCGGCCCGCTGGCCGCTCCGCCGCCGGCCACCCACGCGGTCCCCGGCGGCCCGCGCTCGGCCCGGGGGCGCGGGAGCCGCAGCCGGAGCCGGAGGCGGGAGCAGCGAGCTGGAGCCCCGGGCGCCCGAATGCAGGGTGAGCGCCGCCGCCCTAGCCCGGGGGCGGCAGGGCAGGGGACCCCCGGCGGGAGGACTTTGGGCGGGGAGGGGCTGTCCGTGGTCGGTCGGTCACGGGGTCTGTCCGATGGCCGCGGGCTCCGCTTAAGGCTGCGCACCCCTCCCCCCAACTTGGGGACCTTCGGGGTAACTTCCCCGGGGTCCGCCCCTTCTTCTGAGCCTGGCAGCGCCGCCCCGGGGGGCTTGCTTTCAGGGGGCGGGGATGGCCGCTCTGGGGGTCCTGGGCCCACCCCTGCCCAGCGTAACTCGGGAGGCGTCCGGGACCGCAGTCCCGTCAGCGTTTGGCTCGCGGCCGACGCTCGGACGCGCCCTCGGGGCTGGGCAGAGCTGGGGGCCCCGCTGGGGCAGGACCGCGCGCCTGGCCGGGCGGGGGATCGGAGGACGGAGGAGCGGGGACCGCGAGGGTGGAGGGCGGGCGTGGCGGAGATGTGGAGGCTACTCGCCGAGAGCTCCGCCCTGGGCGGCGGCCGAGCGGGGCCCTGCGGGACTGATGGGTAGCAGAGCCGGCGGAGAGCAGCCTGGGGGCGGCAGGCTGAGCCCGGGAATCCTTTCAAGTTCTGGGTTCTCTTTGTTGCGCAATAGAGCCCGGGGGCCGTGGGGCCTCATTGGCCCGGGGCCGCGACGTCACGCCGGAGCCCCGCCCGCTGACCCTGCGGAGAGAGTCCGGTGGGTCCCAGGTCCGCCACACCTGCAGCCTGCACTGCGGTGTCCTGGGGGGGCGCGGGGGGTGGCAGGGAGCGTCTCCGGGATCCAGGCGCAGCGGGAAGCCCAGTCCTGAAATGCTGCGGAGCCTGAGTGGGCTGCGGGAGAAACTTCCCAACAGGGGGCGGTAACACCCCTGGAGTGTTGGGGCCTGGACCCTAGTGTCCCCTGCTCCCTGTGATTGAGAATGAACAGAAGGTGTCACCAGCCTGGAAGAAGGGGGTCTGCTTGTTTCCGCAGAGCCAGCCCCCTCTCACTCTGCATTTGGAGACCTTGCTCTCCACCCCACCCCGGTGACACTCCTCTCCCATCGCAGGACCACCACGCTCAGGAGTCCATAAAGCCAGCCTCCATACTTCCTCCCTGTGCTGCACTGGGCTCTGAGCCTCAGTGTTCCCATCTGCATTGTGGGGACAGTAGGACCCATCTTGCAGGGGCAGGAGGCCCAGAAAGACCACCTCAGCTCAAGGAACAAAAAAATGCCAAGTTTCTGAGCATTTTAATGTTTCAGACATCAGGATTTTGATGTCAGGAGAGTGGAGTTTGGATCCTGGCTCGGGAACCTAAGAGCTTGGTTACCTCCCCTTAACCATCTGTAAAATGGGAACAATGGCAGTCCTTCAGACAAGATCACTGGGGGTGCGAACTGAGGGGGGTGTGCCTGTTCGAAGGAGGATTGCCTCCTCCCTCTACTTGTAGGGCACATTCTCCTGCCCACACAGACCTAGGGCCTCTCCCTGCAGTGAGACACTGCTCGGCTAGACTCAGGGAAGAACCGGCACCAGGAAGGGTTGTACCAGTGGCAGCCTGTGGCACCTTCCCTACCACTCTGGACCAGCAATCAACAGGTGGGCAGTGTGGGCTGGGCCAGGCGCAGGGTCACAAGAGTCAGACAGCCTGCCTGCTTGGGCTTCTGAGGGAAGGCCTCCCAATCTGACGGCCAAGGCGGCGCGATGCGAGTAGAAATGGATGGCAGCCCACCACTTGCATGCCGAGTCCGGTTTTCCATTTGACAATGTAAGCCTCTGCCCGCTCTGGACCCCTGGTAGGCTGCCAGACACCCCACCTGGCTGTGTGTAGCCCTGTGGCCTCATTACCCTCCAAGCTGGGCTGTCCCAGGTTCTGGCTGGGGTGACTGTGCGTCTGCCTGCAGGTCTGAGGCTCGTGCACACCTCTGAGCTCAGTGTTTTGAAGAGACAGCGTAGCTCAGTGAGCAGGGAGGTCTTTGGTACAGACATCTACGTGGCAAGCATTTATTGAGCACTTACTGTGTGCCTGGCTCCATTCTAAGCGCTTTCCCTGGCATAGCTTACCGGCTACCCACACACTTCTCGAGGCAGATAGAGACTATCATGTCTACGTACAGATGAGAAAACTGAGGCCCAGCTGAGTCACGTGACTGGCTGGGGAGCTAAAGCTGGAGTCTAACAGCTCTTCACCCCATACCGAGTGGCCTCTGTATGCTGAAGTCAAGGAGGCTTGCTGGACAGCAGAACGGCTGGTGGAGGGTTCAGCGGGGCCGCCTCACCCCCCACGCTGGGTCTGGGGTGGGGAAGGGGAGGCAGCTTTGTGAGCAGAAGCCTAATGTTTGGGAAGGAAGTTCCCTGGCCCCAGGAGTCCCCCAGCCTCCGCTAAAAGGCCCTTAGTGGGCACTGGTGTGGTCCAGATTAGACTCCTCCTGTGGGTCAGGGGCCTGGACAGGCCCACTGCAGGGGCACAGAGATGAATGACACCCATCAGGACTCAAGAGATCCTTCGGTGTCCGTGGGGCTCAGGCCACACCCTGCACGAGACAAGCAGGGGAGCCTGGCAGCAGGCTGGGAGGTGTCACTTCCCCTGTCCTGAGTGCCAGGGGCCTGCAATGGCCTGTCCACCCCAAGCTGGAGACAGTCCCTGAAGGATCACGTGGCTGTGTCTGGCTCAGTGGTGCCCATAAGTGTTGGGGGCAACAAATTTGCAGCCAATGAGATTACACAGGCTAGAGGGTGAGAAGGCCCAAGTGTAGGCAGCGTACATAGTAGACCTGCACTGAGCACTGCACTTGTCCCCCACGCCACCTGCTCCAGGCTGTGGCCAGAGGGGCCTGCTGTGGGGGGCCTCACGTCAGAGGGACCGGCCAGTGCTCTGCGCAGGGACGCGCCGAGCTGGGAAGCGGGGGGACTCACCGCCAGGCCCACTGGCAGGATGGGGCGGCTCCCCAACACGTGCCTCCTGCCCCACGTCCTAGGTCCCTGGTTCCTACCTATCCACAGGCCGTCCTTGGGGGCAGGTTCTGGTCCCTGGACCAGCTACAGTCCCATGCTGCCTGCGGCATCCAGGGCAGCCACCGTGTGTGAGACCGGGCCCGCCCCAGGCGCTAGAGATGCGGCGTCTGTCCACCCCAGCCTCCCCCTGGAGGAAGCCTCATCGTCCCTGTTTCAGAGTAGGACGTGGGTGCAGGGACTTTGCTGGGGCCACATGACTAGTACACTAGAGCTTAGTGTACCCCCCAGCCCGGGGTAGTGCCAGGGCCTGCCAGGCGTGCACGGCCATGGAAGGCCTGCTGGGGGCTGACCTGGGTAAAGCAGGCCGCCCTTTCCCAAGGTGGGCACGAGAGTGGTCCCCAGAGCATCCCTTCCTTACAGGGGAGGTTCAGGGCACTCATCCTCCAGGCATGTCCTCATTGGCCAAAGGAAGTGGAAACCAATGAAAGTGAGGGCCCCCAGCATGCACTGGGGGAGTCTCGCGTGGGCTGTGTGAGGATTTGGGGAGTTTGATGGTGAGAGGGCTGGTTCTGGGACAGGACCAGGTACACACGCGGCACAGCGCCCACCTGGGCCCGGCCTGGCGGCTTCCCTGAGGATGCAGGCGGCCTGGAAGGAAGCCTAGGTGCCGCACCTTGACCAGGAGTAGGTGGAGGTGAGGAGATATGCACTTATTGAGCACCCCTGTATACATCCCCTGGGAGCCAGGAGGTTCCATAGAGGGCAGAGGAGGGCGAAGCGGCCCAGCCCAAGCCAGGACCAGACAGGCAATGGAGCATGAGGGGACCCCTCTATCTCGCACTCCCAAGAGCCCCAGGAGCGTCATTGCCGGAGCCCAAGGGAGGGTCCCTGAGAGCTCTTTGGCTCCCCCCAAACCCACTGCAGATGTTCACGGTCCCTGGTGTCCCCAGGCCACCACGTGTGAGTGCTGCTGCTCGGAGCTGAGCCCTGGCTTGAGGAGGATGTCCCAGCCGCCGGCCAGCTCCCCTCTGCACCATGAGTGATGAGCGGCGGCTGCCTGGCAGCGCGGTGGGCTGGCTGGCCTGTGGAGGCCTCTCCCTGCTGGCCAACGCGTGGGGCATCCTCAGCGTGGGGGCCAAGCAGAAGAAGTGGAAGCCCCTGGAGTTCCTGCTGTGCACGCTCGCGGCCACCCACATGCTCAACGTGGCCGTGCCCATCGCCACCTACGCTGTGGTGCAGCTGCGGCGCCAGCGCCCCGACTACGAATGGAACGAGGGCCTCTGCAAGGTCTTCGTCTCCACCTTCTACACCCTTACCCTGGCCACCTGCTTCTCCGTCACCTCCCTCTCCTACCACCGCATGTGGATGGTCCGCTGGCCCGTCAACTACCGGTGAGTTCCTGGGCGTGTGCCCGTGTGCACCTGAACATCTGGTGTCCTTGGAGAGGGGGACGTGGGTGCCTGAGCGCGCAGGTACCCTCGGTGTGGGGACAGGGTCCCTGTGCGGTGTGCCGCACCCATGCTGTGCTGGGGTTGCAGGGACGAGCACGTGTAGGTGTACGTGGGTGCGTACAGTGTCCAGGGCAGAAGGGCTCGGTGAGAAGGACACGTGACGATGTGCTGACTGCGGGGCTGGGGCAGTTGAGGACCCTCTGCCGGTCCCCAGGGGCCTCTGGAGAGACCCTGTGAGTGACGCCAGGTCCCTCTGTCCTGCCCCCGCCCCATGCCAGGCTAAGCAACGCCAAGAAGCAGGCGGTGCACACGGTCATGGGCATCTGGATGGTGTCCTTCATCCTGTCGGCGCTGCCTGCCGTCGGCTGGCACGACACGAGCGAGCGCTTCTACACCCACGGCTGCCACTTCATCGTGGCTGAGATTGGCCTGGGCTTCGGCGTCTGCTTCCTGCTGCTGGTGGGCGGCAGCGTGGCCATGGGCATGGTCTGCACGGCCATCGCCCTCTTCCAGACGCTGGCGGTGCAGGTGGGGCGCCGGGCCGACTTCCACGCCTTCACCGTGCCCACCATCGTGGTGGAGGACGCACAGGGCAAGCGCCGCTCCTCCATCGACGGCTCCGAGCCCGCCAGGACCTCGCTGCAGATCACCGGCCTGGTGGCCACCATCGTCGTCATATACGACTGCCTCATGGGCTTCCCTGTGCTGGTGGGTGAGCCTGTCAGGTGGTAGGAGCCTGGCGGGGGGACGTGGGCTCTGGGACAGCCGTGCTCCAGGCGTGCTCCAGGCATTAGGTGGTTGAATCCTCACACCCGATCTTTTCAGGAGGCATCATCATCCCCATTTTACGGAGGTGGAGACTGAACTTCAGAGGGGTCACATGACCCGCCTAAAGTCAGGGCATCCATGGTGGCATCTGAACCCATGGCAGGTGGCTGCAGAGACCAGGGTCTTTTGTCACACGGCAGGGGACTTTCCTGACCTGAGTGAGACCCATTTGATGCAGAGGGTATGGAAGGTGGGGTGACATGCCACAGGCTTTCTGGTGGGTCCAGGTCCCAGGATGGACAGAGGAGGGATTTAGTGTGGCAGAATTGGCTTTGATCCCGAATCGGGAGGCAGGGCAGGCCTTGAATGTGTGCTGGGGAGTTGGACTTGATCCCAGGAGCTGAGGAAGGTCAAGGTGAGGGCTGGTCTGAAGACCCTGCCAGCAAGGGTCCAAGGTCCACCGAGGCTGCCTGGGGTCCTGTCTGTGAGGCTATGCCCCAGGCCTAGCCCAAGAATGACGTCTGGACTCAAAGACAAACCCTCCCACTGATAGGGCTCCAGTCCTGCCCCTGAAGGCTATGGAGCTGGACAGGGAAGGGTCTAGGGGCAAGGACCAGATAGAGGCTTCATCCTAGCAGCTGGGCAGGGAGTCATCGCAGGACCCAAGCTCCAGAAGGTGACAGGTGGTGTGGCAGCCTCATAGTCAGGGGTGACCTTCTGCCCCACCCTCAGTGGGCCAGAGTAGAGTCCTCCTGTGTGCAGTGGGGCCTGGTGTCCCCAGTCCCTTGATGATAGAGGGAAGATGTGTGTGTGAAATTGCAGAGCCAGATGGGAACAGCAGTGGGGGAAGGGCCCCCCAGCTTCTCTTCAGGGCCGTTTGTGGAACCCACTCCATGCTGCGGGCCTGGTATGGTGTCTGGAATCTTTACCTCACCCTGTGGGGTGTTCCTGGCCCATTTCACAGATGAGGAAACTGAGCCCCAGAGAGGTTTAGCATCTTTCTGAGGGTCACACAGCTCGCATGGAAGAACCAACATGATGTCTGCATCATGCCCACTTCTGCTCTGAAAGAGGAATAGTTATGTCACTCAGTGGGGGAATGATCTCTCCTGGGAGCAGAGGAATGAGGCATCCCTAGGCGGTGACCCAAAGGCCACCTGGTTGGATCCTCTGACCCCCAGAAACTACTTTGATTCTAGATCTCTGGGGTCTGAGGTCTAGACCCTCAGAGTAGGGGGAGGGCCAAGGAGGCCACTAGCCATGGAGCAGCAGGGATGGTAGAAAGGTCCCTGAACTGGGAGACTTGAGACCTGGCTCTCAAAAAGGGGCTGGTAATCCACGCCTTCTCCTCCTTGGGCGGTCACGGGTGAAATGAGGGAGGCCGTGCCCAGTGCTACCTGGTGCACTGTGAAGGGCTCTGCACACATGGGGCTGTGACTGTTCATCTTGGCACCAGCGGCTGTCGGTGGGCAGGGGCTTCTCCCCTCACACTCTCCTGCCCAAAACCCCAGGGCTTTGTCCTCCCCCTCCCCCTCTATCTCCCCCTCCCCCGCCTCCGGCAGGTAGGCAGTCAGACCTGCCCCACAGGTGGGAGAACTGAGGCCGGGAAGGGAAGCTGGGTGATGGGGGTCCTGCCGGGTGCCAGGCCCAGCCCTGTGCCCACAGGTGGTGAGCTTCAGCAGCCTGTGGGCTGACGCCTCGGCGCCCTGGATGGCACTGTGTGTGCTCTGGTGCTCAGTGACCCAGGCCCTGCTGCTGCCTGTATTCCTCTGGGCCTGCGACCGCTACCGCGCTGACCTCAAGGCTGTCTGGGAGAAGTGCATGGCCCTCATGGCCAACGACGAGGACTCGGGTGATGGTGAGGACGGTCTGAGCATGCCCCCCAGGGAGAGTGGCGCCTGGGTGAGGTCACTGGGGGTCAGCGGGATAACAGCTGTCAGAGCCCCCTTGTTCTACCCCAAAGGTTCTTAAACCCCTCAAGGACTCAAGCCTGGTGTCACACGGGGCATTCCCCTGTATGGCTTGGCCGCCCCCAGGGTTCCAGTTAATCAGACGTTCTGGTTAACAGAGTGGCTGTGGACTGCAGCCTGAACGTGTTTCTTGGAGCTTCCAACCTTAGGGGTCCTGGCGAACTGCCCCGGGGCTCCTGTAGACCGGTCCTGTCTCCCTGCCAGCAGTAATAATGTGACCCTGGGCTGAGCCCTTGCCACCTGGCAGGCAGTGTCAGCTCCTTGTGTCTATTTAGTTCTCACCCCCATAGAGGAGGAAACTGGCTCAGGGTCTGTGACTTCCCCAGGCCCTCAACTAAAAGGTGGCAGAGTCAGGATCTGAATAGAGGACCCCGCCCTGCTCCTTTTCTGTTAACCAGCCCACCAGCCCTGCGTGTGTCTCTGGGGGTCCCTGGGACCCATTCCTGGATGTCCCCAAGTTTCCACGGCCCTAAGCTTCTGCCCCGCCCTGCAGAAACCAGCCTGGAAGGTGGCATCCCCCCAGACCTAGTGTTGGACCGCTCCCTGGACTACAGCTATGGGGGTGACTTTGTGGCCCTGGACAGGACGGCCAAGTATGAGCTCTCTGCCCTGGAGGGGGACCTGCCCCAGTTCTACCCTCTGCGGCCCTTGCAGGAGGACAAGATGCAGTACCTGCAGGTAGGGACAGCCAGGGCTGGAGATGCAAATATGCCTCTCCAAGGCCTTTCCTCTCTGAGCCCATCTCACGCCTGCCACAGCTCCTGGGGCTGGCTTTCATCCTCCCAAGACGGGCTGGCCCCAGGTCACAGAGCCTGTGCAGGTGGGCCCATGGGCGGTACCCCAGCCCCTGTGCCCAAGCTCGCTGGTGCTCTAGGAGGATGGTCCATTTGGTGCCTGTGTTGTCTCCTTGGGGCTCAGCACCCTACTCAAAGGGACTTGTCCCCAGCTGACCCAAGCTACAGATGACAACACTGAGGTTTGAAGAGATTGTCACTTGCCCCAAATCTCACAGCTCTAAACCAGGGTGCCCTGGACCAGGCCTGGTCCCTGACCTCAGGCTGCCCTGCCCGGTGAGGGGAGGCTAGGTCCCCCTTTTCCAGGAGGGCAGCCCGGGTTAACCCCTTGGTCCTGACAGGTCCCGCCCACGCGACGCTTCTCCCACGACGACGCGGACGTGTGGGCCGCCGTTCCGCTGCCCACGTTCCTACCGCGCTGGGGCTCTGGCGAGGACCTGGCCGCCCTGGTGCTGCCTGGCGGGCCCGACCGGCGCCGCGGAGGCCTGCTGGCGGAGGACGCGCCCCCCTTCCGCCCGCGCCGTCGCTCGGCCGAGAGCCTGCTGTCGCTGCGTCCCCCGGCCCTGGACAACGGCCCGCGCCTCGCCCCTGGCTCGCCCCCCGGCAGCCCGCGCCGCCGCGCCGGGCCCGGCGCCCGCTGCGCCTCGGCCTCGCTGCTTCCCGACGCCTTCGCGCTGACCGCCTTCGAGCGGGAGCCACAGGCCCTGCGCCGCCAGCCCGCCTCACCGGGGCCCTTCCCCGTCCGCGCCCTGCCCCGCGACGGCGCCCAGCCCGGCGGGGACGCGGCGCCCCCTGGCGGCGGCGGCGCGCAACGGAGCCCCGGGCCGCGCCCGGCCGCACACGCGCATTCCAGGACCCTGCGGACCGGCCTGAGCGCGTCGTGGGGCGAACCCGGGGGCCTGCGCGCGGCGGGCGGCGGCGGCGGCAGCATCAGCAGCTTCTTGAGCTCGCCCTCGGAGTCGTCGGGCTACGTCACGCTGCACTCGGACTCGATGGGTTCGGCGTCTTAGGGCCCGCCGGCGCCTCCCCAAGCCTCCAGGCGGGCCGGGCCACCCACGGGGCCAAAGCACCAAAGATGCCATCCTAACCCGGCCCAGGCTCGGGGCAGGCTACGCTGAGGCCGCCGGCGGCGCCTGAACTTGCGCTAGCCCTGACGGGGCGGCGGCTGTGTGCCGCCCCGGAAGCGGCCATTGCCTGGAGGGGCAAAGCCCGCCCCGGACGACCACACTGGGCACGGGCCAGCCTCTGGGCAGGGCATCTCTGGGCAGAGTGAGGCTGGGGCTTGGGAAAAGGCGGGCTCCGCACGGGGCAGCTGGCTACCGCCGGACGGAACAAAGCCCAGCCCTGCAGGAGCCACCAGACTGCAGCCGCTTCCCACTCTGCACCGTAATTGTCACACCTCAGGGGGTGGGGTACAGAGAGGGTCTGTAAGCACAGGGGTCTTCAGAGCCCAAACCAAGTTCTCTGAGCAGGTCTCCCTGCTGACTTGTTCTGCCTTGGTTTCTGCATCTGTGAGGAGCAGGTGACCGTGTTAGCTCTCAGGACTGTCTGGACAAGTCTCCTGGTCTGTGTGCCCCGGCCGCCACCGAGGGGACAGGGAGTGAGTAGTGGAGGACCCTCCATGGGTCCTTTGTGGGGCTCAGTTTTCAGGGGCCTGGCGTGGCCCCCAAGCCTGAGGCCTCCCACACTTAGTGCCCCTGGCCCCCTTGAGAACTCTCCCCAGCCAAGCTAAAGCACAACACTTTCGCACCATCACCATTGGCACACACCCACCTTGGCCGCTGTTAGCATCCCACCCTCATCACTGTGCCTCCATTGCCTATGCACAACATGTCAGCCACCTCTCTGACTCCCACCACGAAGGTCGTGGGTACGTGGTGGAGAAAACTGAAGCAAAGGGGGAGCGGGCTTCCTTCTCCTGGTGCCAATCCCCAACCTATGCAGGTCTGGCCAGGAAGGGATCTTGCCTTAGAGGCCTCGCAGCTTCTGGGTTCAAGGCCTGGTCCCTGGTAAGAGTCTTCCTCCACCCTGGGGCAGGGGTCTTCTTTTGCTCTCCATGCTGGGCAGACCTCTTGCAGGCCTGGGCTTGGCCATGGGCCCTTGGGAGGGCCTGCTGGGTCTTGCATGGAGGAAGACCCTCGACTCAGGCTAAGGAGAAGCCCAGGAATAGCTGTGGACTTTGAGCTGGAGGGGCTGGGATGAATGCAAAGACTGTCTCATTCCATCCCCTGCCTCCATGCAGTGGCCCCTCCATGTGAAGATCTGGAGGGGGTTCCAGGGCCTGCAAGGAGCTGGTCTACCCCCTCTCCCCTCCTACTCTGTAACCTGGAATTGCAGCACTGCCTCTGCCCCTCAGGTGGCCAAGCCTGTCTCCTCACCCTCCAGACAGGGTCCCAGCTCCAGAGAGGCCTCTGGGAGCCGGGAGAACAGGGGGGACTACGCAGCTCTGTCTCACCTTCAGAGGCCCCTTCAGTCTCTGGCTGTGGGGTAACTTGGGGGGAGGAGCTGGCCACAGGTGAGTAAGGCAGGAGGCTCCGGTCCAGCCTCAGCCATGGGAGGCCTGCCTCGCCAACGCTGCTGTACCTTCAAGGACCCACATGTGATGTGGGGGCGGAGGTAGCCGGTTAGCCACTGTTCCCCACCCCCCGCCGGCCGATTTGTCACCTTGGGTTTTTATATCCAATCTGTGTATTTCATATCCAACGGCAATACTTGCAAGGAGGCGTGGTCCCCTGAAGTCCCTCCAGTCCTGGTTTTTACAAAATTATTAAGAGGGAGGACCCCAGGCAGAGGCCCCCGGAGCGTGGGGCTACCTCTCTCACCTTGTCTTGCCTCCAGGCCTGTTTGCTGCCCTGATGAGCAGCTTGGCCCTGGGTTCACTGTGGAGGGAGCTCTGTCTTCATACCACCACCCAGCCCAGAGCCAGGGATCCGTTTGTAGTTTTTTTTGACAACTGAGCATTTATCTTCTGTACAGAATCTAATAAAAACTTCCTGTGATTTGCACCAGGCAATCCGAGGCCGATTTCATGGAAACGCTTAGAACCTAACAGCACCGCTGGCCAGCTGCCCCTAAACGTCTCTCCCTCTGGGTCCTGAATTCCTCCACTAGTGCACCCTTCCTTTGGGTTGGACTTGCCCCTTTCTCTAGGCAAATCCAGCGGCCCCACTCAGCGAGTGAGTCAGACCTGGGGCAGCAGCAGGATGGAGCGGCCTGGTGGGTTCCAAAGCCCTAATAAAGGGCGGAGGTGACCTATGAGTGCAGATGGCAGCCCCTGCCCAGGTTTGGCTTCAGGGACCACTAGTACCAGTGAGGCTGATTCCGGAGGGCGAGAAAGGCAGAGCAGTTGGAGCCGTGCCTAGGGGAGGAGGATCCATTGTGCCGGTTGACCCGCCCACCAGCCTGGGTTGGAATTCCGAGGACGTGCCCTGGGTCCGCGATGTAAGATCGCCACCTGGTGGCCGGCAGGAGCCTGGTGGCCTGCAGAAGGATTAGTGTCGGGAAGTTGAGACCCGAGAGGCCGCCCCGGGACCACCACTGCAGGAGCCCCGCCCCAGCACCGGAGAGCCCGTTGGGTGGTGCGGTAGGGGAGCCGGGTCGCCCTCTCCCCGCGGTCTGACCAGGACGGGTTTAGCACACGGCAAGGCAGGGGCAGCCCAAAATGAGAAACGTTTTATACAAAGTTGATGTTGGTAGTTCAAAAAGATTCACCTAAGTAGGCATCACGGGAGCAATTAGAACCTTCGTGGCCTCTTTATACCCATTTCAGAAATTCGCACTGTCCTTATTTTGAATTTCAAGCTGGTGGGAGGAGGTGCTAGGATCTCTTCCTGGGCTCAGGGCAGGGTCCCTGTCCTCCACCCCCAGGCTTCCCCTCGAGGGCCGGGAGCCCCGGGTTCGAGTCCGGGCACAGCAATGACCTCATTTTCGGACGAGTAAACCGTCGCACAGCACTCCCAGGGTTGTCAAGGGTGGTGGGCTCCCTGGAGGCCCCAGAGGTCCAGAGTCGGGGGCTCTGCGGGGCCGGGGTCTTTTCCAAGTGGGGAGAAGTGAACTCTCCCTTGAGAGGAGCCGGGGTGTGCCCTAGCAGCCCCCAAGTTGGTGCGACAGTGCGCGGGGTCCCTACCAGAGGCCGCGCGGAGCCAAGTGTCGGGTGGCCGGGGCGGTAGGAGGAGCATCTTATCGGGCGGGGCCACAGCGCTGAGCGGGCGCTGGGCAGGGTCGCTAAGGAGGGGGCTTCCGAGAGGGCAGACTTAGGAGCGTGCGCCAGCGGGTGGGCCGCGCCGCGTGCGGAGGGGGTGGGGATCCCTGGAAGCCGAGTGGGTCCAGGATGGGGATGGGATGGGGGCCCCTTGCCGGGGGGGCGGGGCCTGGCGCGCTTTGTGCCGGTGGGAACCGGGTGTCCCTGGCCGGCTGAATGGGCAGGGGCGGGGCAGCGATTCTCCTCGCTGCGAGGGGTCCGCTCTGTGCTGCTGCGGACAGCGACCTTCCCACCGCGGCGCGGCCGCGGGGCGGGGACGAGCTGCCCGCCAGGGGCCCTGGGAAAGGGGCGCAGCCCGGGACACCCACTCCCAGCCCCACTGGAAGGTGGGAGGAGGAGAAAGCGGGTCCGGCCTAAGTGGGTAGGGCTGGGGTGGGGGGTGGGTTATGCCTAGACGCGCAGAACCCGGTCCAATCGTAGCTTCGTGTATTTCCCCGAGTTCGAAGAGACGCGGCACCCTCCTGGCCACCCCGTCCCGGAACCAGAACCGATGACCGGAGTCCCGGCCGTCCAAAACAGTCTCTGCGTCCCCAGGCCAGACGAGGGCCTCTGTGAGTCCGAGGCCGTACCTGATCCTCACCAGGGCCGCCACAAGCGCAGCCCCGGCCCCGGGCTCTCGGCGAAGCGGCGAGACGCCGACTGCGGCGCGGGGATGCTGGTGGACTGACCGGGGAGACCTCCAGATAAGAGGAGCCGGGGTGGCGGGGACCGCGAGCCGGCGGCGGCCGGAGCAGGGGCCCAAACTGGGGGGGCGCCGGGGCCGCGCCGCGCGGGTGCCTCGGGGCCGGGACTGGCGCTGTCCATGGTGCTGCCACCCGCGCGCTCGTGCGCCAGGGGGCAGCGCAGACCGTCGCCGCCCTCCTCTTCGCGCCGCAGAGGCTGGCTAACGCCCGGTAGACAGCCGCGGAAGCCCGACGGGTACTCGGCTCCGCTGGGGACCGGCCAGAGCCCTGGGGGAAGGGGAGCGGATGAGAGAAATGCGGAAAGGAGGGGAGAGGAGTAGGAAAGGAAAGATGGAGAGAGGAGAGAGCAAGGGAGGGGAGAAGTGTGGAGGGAGGGAAGAGAAGGGAGGGGAGTCAGCCCGAACCCGCTCCCCCCTTCCCGGGTCCAGACCTTCGCCCACCCAGATTACAACTCCACAGCCAGCCGGGCTTTTGCTGCCTGCCCACTCATAGCAATATGGGGCCCCCTTGTCACTCAGCTGCCCACTGCCCTGAGCAGTTCTTCTCCGTCCATCCCTCCTTTATCTGGCCTTGTAGAATCCGTGGCTCTGACCCCACAAGTTCCCCCGCCTCTTCGCCCGACTCCCCAAGCCATCCCGCTACCTTGCACCGAGTTCTGAAGGCTTTTCATGTACTTGACGCTCAGCTCCAGTATGTCTGCCTTCTCCAACTTGCGTTTCCGGATCTGGGGATCCGTGGAAAGGGCTCTTAGCACCGCAGCCTGGGCTGGGGCAGATGAGGCTGCGGACCGTATCATCTTACCTCCACCGCGTCCCCTTTCTCACCTGGTGCGAGTAGTGTTTCTCTAGCAACGATCTGAGCTGCTCCAGCGACACATTAATGCGCGCCCGTCGCTTCTTCTCCATCAGCGGCTTGGAGATCTGTGGGTGAGCAGCAGTTAGAGGGCAGGGCCTTGGCCCTCTCGCGCTCTGCCTCACCCCTCACGCCCGCAGCCCTCGGGACCCCAGACCTTGCGGAAGTTGCCGGCGGGGCCGCCAGAGCTGCCCTGGGTCTCGGACTCAGTGCCCATGTTGTCGTAGCGGAGGCCACTGGAGGCGGCACCGCCTTTATAGGGGCACCTCGTTTACATGTCAATGAGGCGCTCCTGGACTTGTGGGACCCCCAGGGGGAGGGGATGAGAGAGGGACAAACTGGGAAGTTCGCCACCTCCCTCTGCCTCTTCTCTTCCCTTAGTCCAGGCCTCACCTCCAGGACTCCTCCTCCCTCCTGAGGGACCACCTTTACCCTTTCTCAGTCTTTCCTTTTTTTTTTTTTGTCTACGTTGGGTCTTCGTTGCTGCGCACGGGCTCTCTCTAGTTGCGGTGAGCGGGGGCTACTCTTCGTTGCGGTGCGCGGGCTTCTCATTGCGGTGGCTTCTCTTGTTGGGGAGCACGGGCTCTAGGCGCGCGGGCTTCAGTAGTTGCGGCACACAGGCTCAGTAGTTGTGGCTCACGGGCCTAGTTGCTCCACGGCATGTGGGATCTTCCTGGACCAGGGACCAAACCCGTATCCCCTGCACTGGCAGGCGGATTCTTAACCACTACGCCACCAGGGAGCTCCTCTCAGTCTTTCCTTTCTCCCTCTCACCCTCACTACTGCCTGAGTCTGGAATTCCTTCCCATGCCCACCCCCTCCCGTCCCAGTCTCCCTAAGTTCTGGGCCTCACCACCAAGCCCACTGGGGGAGGTCCATGGGCACAGATGGCTGCAAGACCCACTAATGACTATGACTGAGCACCGGTCCTCCTCGGGCCTGATGAAGACGCGGAGGCAGGGAGCAGCCACCAGCGAGGCCTTTCTGCCGGCTTCACGCTCGGGCCGCGCTGGCGATGCCACATTACTCGCCCTAATGTCGGGACAATGCAGCAATTTTCTGCCCGTGGCCACTCAAAGCCAGGTGCAGAGCAGGCCCGCAGGGGCCAAGCAGCAACATGTGTCCCATTAAAGCATGCAGCCCGCCCGCGGGGCCACAGCCAGCCTCCTCCTTGGGGCCTCGGGACTGGGAGCCGTCCTGCGTCGGGGTTCAGTCTGGGCTCAGGGGCCCTCCGGCCCTGTTAGGACCCAACCCACACTCTTCAAACTGGGGGGCAAGCTGCAGGCAGCCTCAGGCCAGGGCAGTCAGAAAGGCCTCCCCCACCCCCAGTCCTGAGTTTGCAGGCTGGAAAACTCAGGCTCTGAGGACCTTTCCGTCACAGGGAAGGCCTAGGAGTTTATTCCCCCCACCCCTGCCCGTTGGCCTTCTCTGGGTCCCAACAAATGGGAGGTGGTGGTGAAGACCACTGAGCATCTGGGGAGAGCACCGTTCTGCACGTTTGGAGGTCCGGGATGTCAACCCCTGTTCATTATTCAGGCTGTGGCTGAAGACCCAAGGAGCTCAGAGGAGGAGACACCTGCCCCCGGACCCACTAGGCCCTATAGCACGACTCTGGTGCAGTCCCTGCTTGGGCTTCAGGAGGCTGGGCTGCAGGAGCTGGGAGGGACGGGAAAACTGACGTCTGCGGGAGTCCCTGGGTTCAAACCTACACAGCTCCCTTTACTGAGTTCCCTTGGCCTCAGTGAACATGCGGCCCCTAGCGCTGCTTGTGAGGGCGCTGTGGAAGTCGCAAGGACCCAAAAGTTCGGCAGTGGAGCCCTGCTGCCGAAGACTGAACAAACTGGACTTTGCGGGGTCCCAGTGGGGGGGGAGGGGAAATTGCTGGGTCCTTGGTGGGCCCCAGCTCCATCCTCTTACCCATCCACCCCCGCTCGGGGCATTGATGGGCCCCTGCCCGGCAGTGGCGTTCCCAGGCGCCAAGCAGCGTGGAGAATCTCTCCCCGCCCTCCTTTCAGGCGGAAGCGTCGGCGACAGCGGCTCCAAAGTGTTCTTTCGCCCCGGCCGCAGGGCCCGCCGGTCAGATCCGGGCCGGGCCCGGCCCAGGGCGGGTGGCGGGGCCGCGGCGGGACTGCGGGCGCTGGCACGCGCCGGGCGGCTTTGAAGCGCCGGGGCCGGCCAGCCCCGAGTGGCTTCCGCGGGTTCGCTCCGGCTTGGGGCGGTGGCGGCGCGGTACAAAGGCGCCGCGGGGCGGGCGGGCGGCGAGGCCGGGCACAAAGGGGGCAGCCGAGTGTTAAGGGCATTGTGCCGGCCCTACAAAGCCGCGCCCCCGCCCGACCCCTCGGGACCAAACTCCGGGCGCCCTGCCGCGCGCGGGCTTCCAGCTGCTGCACATCTGCAGGGAGGCTGGGCGCGCGCCTCGCTCGGGCGGTCCCCCTCATCCCCGCCCAGCTCTCGAGCCGCGCGGGCAGCCGGGCAATTTGTCCTCTAATTATGATCCCTCCCCATAAACCGCCGCCCGCGCCTTTCAACTCCGGCGTTATTAGCAAACCAATGGCCCTCGGCGCAGCTCTCGCGGCCCACAGCGGGGGCGCCGGGCCCGCCCCCTATCCAGAGTTCGGGCCGCAATAAAGGGGCCCGCGAGACGCCCCCGCCTGCACCCTGGCCCCCGCAGCTCCTAGGGCCACCACCCCTCTCGAGCCCGTGCCCCGAGATCCCGGCCGCTCTGGGTGGGGCCGCTCACGTGGGTGGCTTAGTGTTTCTTAAGCAGTGGAAAATTGACCGCAAAATGCGCTAATTCGCAATGTTCTGCTTTGGCTGCAGCAGGCGAGGCCGGCCCGGGCGGCCCGGGAGGAATTCGGGCTGTCAAGCTCCGCCCCTGCCGGCTTAATGGGCCTCCGCCTCCGCTGCCCCCGACCCCCACCCCGGCACTGCCCGCTGCGCCCCTCCCCCTCTGGCAGGTCCTCAGCTGGCGTCTCCCCACCTAGGCCGATCCCCTCCCCCACTTTCCGGGCTTGCCCGGGTCCTCGCTCGGCTCCCTCACCACAAACAGCCACCTTGGCGCGTTCGTCGCCTCCAGCTGGCCGAGGGTCGCGCGGGACTCAAGGCTGAAAGGGATCTCTGTGCAAATTCCATCTTACCTTTTACCCACCTTCAGAGACAGTTTCCTCGCCACCCTCGCCACCCTTTACCCCCAGTTCGGGTTAGTCTTCTGGGCAGCCGATACCCCCCAGTAAGTTAAAGGCAGATTTTTGCATTTGGCAAGGTCATTGGAAAAGACCGGAGTCTCCACTGAGATCCTGCTCGGAGACCTAGGCTAGGGACCCCCAGGTCTGTTTGCAAGTTTTGCGTCTGGGCATCCTACACACCCTAGGCAGGCTGGGCTCCGAGGGCGCGTGCAGAGGCTGGGGAGGCGTTTTCCGACGTAGGGGGAACGGCTGCGGGTTCACCTCGTCCTCTCTGAGAGCAAGCAGGACCAAGCGCTCTCGGGCTGCCGGCAAGGGCATGGACCAACTTAGAAACCCGGCTTATGCAAGCCGGGATGTAGGCCACCGACTCCCTTTCCATCTTTAGCCTCTGGGGTTCCCAGGGGGCTTGGAAAGGAGCACAGGTCCAGGCAGAGCGCTGGGGGGACACAGGCTGCCCTCTGCTCATTCAGGAAAAATTCTTTCTGTAACTCAGGAGAGCTCTGGGGGCTTCCAGGGCTACTCAAAGCCCGTGGCTTCCTCAGGCTGGGGAATTTAAGGCCCAAAGTGACCTGTGCCTTTTGTCCTCTCTTCCTCCATTTGGTTTTCTTGCCTTTGGTAAAAGAAAGAACATTACAGAACGATGCAGGCCCTGGATGGGAACCCCTGCCTTCCTGCAGCCCCCAGGCATTTAAAGCTACCCGAGCTGTTAGGTGCTGCCGAGGCCACTGCCTGTGCAGTGACTGGAGGGAGAAATGTGCGGCCCCCTCCAGGATGCACTTCTAAATGGAACGAAGTGATTGCTCCATGTAATTAACTATTGGGACACAGCAAAAGCTCAGAAATGACTCAGCCGATTGTCTCCAGATGGGGTTGGAGAGGCTGCAATTGTTTAACTCTCTTTGGCTGGGTTAGGACTCCGAATAGCCTGGCAGCCAAGGGCCCTCCAGGGGACAAAGGCTGGGACTCTGGTGAGTGCATCAACACTGAACCGGGCTGGCCCAGCTCAGAGAGAGTGAATTCTGGGAGACCCTCACTGTCCCAGCCTTTTGTGCTTCTCCCCAGCTGGCTCTAATCTTTAAATATTTACCCGGCCCATTTGTGCACATATGACTTATGCACGTTGGGCTGATCTGCTCATAAATTACGAGAGTCATTTACCAGACGGGGGTGGGGGGGTGGGGGGGTGCTTTCATGCCTGGAGTGGGGAGTGGCCAGAGGAGGGGAAGAAAAAACAGCTTTTGGAGGATCAGAGCGAGCTGCAGCCACACTGGACAGGCCCCTCCTGGCCTCCACGTGGGAAGTGGATGGGGCAGAGGCCTGTGAGTGACGAGGAGTCCCAGGAGGTCACCCACCATCAGGGAGGAGGGAGAGGCAGAGTTCCAGAGCTGTTTCCTACTTGGTGTCAGGCTTGGACAGGAGCCAGCCCTTCATCCTGGGAAGCTGGTGTGGGTGGAGGTGCTTGGTTAACACCCATCCTTGCTCCTTCTCCTGCTTGCTCTGCAGCATTCCCCCTTCCTACATTTCCTCTTTCTCCGTAAAGCAACCCTGTTTGAGAAAAGGGAGCCTAATTTCACCTCAGCCTGCAGCTTAACTTGGAAAAGTCAACATGGTTCTGACGGCTTTTTAAAACAAGAGGGATCCCCACTTGGGCCCAGGATGGAAAGCCACCTCAGCTGGTGGGTGGATGGCTGGATTGGGGGGCGGGGAGGGGAGGCCCTAGAGAGGGAACTTCCTGCATGAGAAAGGGTTCCCTTTGTGCTTGCCTCACAGCTCCTAGAACAAAACACATTCAAATGCTTATTTAGAGGGGAAAAAATGGAAAGCATGGCATCTCCAGGCTGACTGGTTTCTCTTTATTTTCTTATATTACTGTAGGTGTGCTGTTCCTCTAGCCTAGGGGAGGACAAACTGGAGTGACACGGGAGAGCTGGGTGCAGAGTGGACATGTTTGATCAGATTGCTTTCCTCTCTGGTGGGAAAGCAGGTCTCTGTGTTTCTGTCTATAGCTCTGTGAATTACTGTTTTTCTGTGTGCCTGTGTATCGCTCTGTGTGACTTTGTTGCTCTGGGTCTATGCCAGTGTGTACATACATTCGTTTACTTGCCTTTCCCTTCCATCACTCCTCTGTGAACCCCCAGGCCCTGACAGATTCAGCAGCTCTAGTGACTTCTAAAAATTCCCCTTCCCGCTGGTCTGGCCCTACCTGGAAGGGGACTGCCTCCCCCTTCTTTCTCCTTTCTCCAAGTTGGGACTGATGGAGATGTATGGTCTAAGACGAACTGATGGGCAGAGAAGAGAGAGTTGCTCAAGCCTTCCAATCTGCATTACATGTTACTCTGTGCCCCCCAGAACAGGGACTGCCCCTGCCATAAGTCAGCGTGGAGAGCAGATACCAATGGCCAGAAAAGGAGCTTCCTGGGAGCAGCCCTCTGCCCCAGGACCAGACTCACTCCCGGGAGTGAAGGTGCAGTGAGCACCCTCTAGTGGCCCTGAGGTGTCCTGGAGATGCAGGAGAGGTCCTGAGTGGGGGGAGACAGTAGAAACAGGGGACAGTGGCAGGACCCTGGCTCTCAGCCCCCAGTAACAGTCCAGGCTTCCTTCCCACATGGTGCTGCAACTGGGTGACGTTGGATTTTAAAACATTAAATCTCCTTTCAGTTCCCATCTACCGAGTTTAGCAAATGTCTTCTGAGCACATTTTAAACATGATACTGGGTTTACAGAACATTGGTGTGAGACCCGTGAAATCAGGATCCCTATTTTATAGGAAGTTGAGGCTCACAGAGTTGCTCTGCCCGAGCTCACAACGCTGCTGAGGTAGGCTCTCCACCCTTCCCTGAACCCAGCTTTCCAGACACCAGGCCTCCTGCCTGGTCCTGCAAGGACACAGGAAGGTAGAGTGGCCAGGGACTCGGAGGCAGACTGGGCTGACTGCAGCTCACAGCCCACCTGCCCTTATGGCTCTCTGACCCACTACTCTGGGTTCCAGCCTCCCCCAGGGCCTGTCCCCTATCCCGCTTCAGGCTTGCTTCCTCCTGCCTCTGTGTCTGCAAAACTCGGTCCCCTCCCTCCTGTAGATGTCCTTGCTCTCATTTCCAGTCTCAGGCGGGCTGCCACTACCGACTCTTCCGGGCACACTCCTAACGCTCCCACCCACGGGCCTCTCCCTGGGGTCCCTCCCATTCCCTCTCTATCCCTACTTGGCTTCTGACCCACTCCCATCCCACCATAGTTTATTCTAGTCATTTGCTTACTTGCCTTTTTCCTCCATCAGGCCTTTGTGAGTGCCCGGAAGTGGAGGCATTTACCTTTTAAAAAATTAAGGAACAGGACTTCCCCAGTGCTCCAGTGGTTAAGACTAAGCCCTTCCACTGCAGGGGGCACGGGCTGGATCCCCTGTCCGGGAAGTTCCAAAATGCCGCGCCGGTAAAGTAAGGAAAAATTCCTAAGTAATATAGATTGATTGTGGACCATATGGAAAATACAAAACCATATAAAAAAAGACAGTAAAAGTCTCCCAGAGTCCCTACCACCTGAAGATTATCGTTGTGAAGTAATTTTGGCTTCTATTCCAAACATTTTCCCGGGCTCACACATATGCTTCTCTTTTCCCCAAGTGAAGTCAGGATCACACTGCAAAGTTTGGCATGCTGCATTATAAAAAACGTAATGTCTTGAGGATTTCCACCGTCGGCTAACATTCTCCCTCGACACGAACTGAAGTGGGCGGTCGCCCCGCTGCGTGCATGCCCCAAGGGTAGTGTCCCCACAGCCTGGGCGCCCAGCGGGCGCTCGGAGAACCTGCCGAAGGCGGGTGGTCTCTGCGCGCGGACCCCCCCGGGGCGCGGCGGGGTGGAGGCGGATCGCCGGCTCGCGCCCGCATGCCCAGGACTGTCGGTTTCGCCAGGGATCGCGCGGGGCCCGTGAGCGGCGGGGGCGGGGGCTGGGTGCTTTAGATTTCACGTGATTTCTCTGGATGCGGACATTCTGGAGTTTGGGGCCGACTCCTGGCAGACGCCGCCGGCAACTTCTCGGCCCAGGACCCAGACTCCCCGCGGCCCCGCCCGCCAACCGCAGCTGTGCCTGGGTCAGGGGGTCCCGGGGGGACGGCGGGGCGGGGCGGGGCGCTCCTGTCAAATTCGGGCCCCCGCCGCGCGGCGCGGCGGTATCGCGAGAGCTCGCGGGCGGTGCGCAGGTCTGGGCGGCTGCCCTTCCCGTCCGGCGTCGGCAGCGCAGTGCGCAGGCGCAGCGGGCGGGTTTCCCCAGGCTACAGTTGGGGCCGCCGCCCGCTGGTCCGCCGCCCTGCGCCATGGCGGGCTGCGCGGCGCGGGCTCCGCCGGGCTCCGAGGCGCGCCTCAGCCTCGCCACCTTCCTGCTGGGCGCCTCGGTGCTCGCGCTGCCACTGCTCACGCGCGCCGGCCTGCAGGGCCGCACCGGGCTGGCGCTCTACGTGGCTGGACTCAACGCGCTGCTGCTGCTGCTCTACCGGCCGCCGCGCTACCAGGTGCGGGCCGGGCCGGGCCGAGGGCCGGGGCGGGTACCGGGGGCCGGGCGGGCTGGGCGCGGCGCGTGGGCACCGTCCCCCCGGGGTCGAGGTCCGGGTCTGCCGAGAGCGCGGCCCGCTAGAGGGGTTGCCTCCCCCGGCCGCGTCTTTTAGCAGCTGCGAGTTCAGGTGGCAGGAGGGCCCCCTCTCTGCCAGTCCCGGGGGGCGTGGGTCGCGGTCCCCCTCCACCCGGCGGAGCGGGTGGGAAGTTGCGGTTGGTGCCGTTCAGCAGCTGCGGCAGATGCACGTGGGGTGGGGAGTGAGCGGGCCCACGAGTTCTTTTATGTAATTTAAGGTGTGGAGAACTACCTGCTGTCAAGTCTGAGGTCAGAGGCCCCCGCAGTTACGTGGAGGGGGCTGGGCGCAGAGTCCCGGCTGCCCCGACCAGATTCGCTGCATGGACTTGGGAGAATCCGGCCAATAAGCTAGGTTTAACGCAGTTTTCCCACAGCCCTGAGTGACAATAACAATCATAATAGTAATGGTAGCTAAACCTTACTTACGAAGCACTTCGCCTTAAGTGCTTTACGTGGGTAATCTTCACAGCAGTCCTCAGAGGTAGGTACTCTTGTCATCCCCATTGTGTAGATGGGGAAACCGAGGTCCAGAGAGATTAAGTAACTTGCCTAAGGCCACAGAGCCATAGAGGGGTGGGATTGGGATTTGAACCCAGGCGGCCGTGCTTCACCCTGTTAACCTCTGAGCAAATCGGCTCCATGGACTTGCCGGTGGCCTACTTATCCCAGGAAGTACGATGTATGCTCTGTGAACAACCAGGTGACTGATCCTCTTTTGGGTCCGTTTCAGATAGCCATCCGAGCCTGTTTCCTTGGCTTTGTGTTTGGCTGTGGAGTGCTACTAAGTTTTAGCCAGTCTTCTTGGAATCACTTTGGCTGGTAAGAAGTGCTTTGGGAATGACAGTTTTGAGGCGGGGGTGGGCGGATCAGAGGGTCAGTAGTGATATTCCCGCATCCCTGGCTGGCTGAAGGCTAGTGAGGGCTCTAAGGGAATGAGGCCTCTAGCTTCCTAGATTCCCGCATCTTGAACCTTGAGGACTTGTGCCTGTTGGCTGCTTCTGTCGCAGGTGGAAACAGGTCTCCCTGGCACCCTTCCCACAGATGCTCTCATGTACCGCACCTTCAGTAATGTGACCAGCCCCTCCCAGAAGAGGGTCCTGGTCCTCGGTGACAGGAAGGGGCAAGGCTCTGGCTCGTCTTCACAGGCCTTTTCCGTCTCTAATTTCTATTAGGTCACATCTAGTGCCTCCCCCACGGCCAGTGTAGGATTTTTCCCTACACTATGATTTCAGTCCCTTGAGCCTTCTAGTCCCTGACCTGGATATGAACCAGTGGCTTCAAGGTAAAAAGCTTTATCTCCTACTATCAATACTCTGAGCCATCTAATCCTTCTTTGCTGGAATTATTTCAGTTTTCCGAATTTTTGTACTCGACATACATCACTACTTTATTTTGATACTTCTTTCATGTTTTACTGTGTGTAGTGTCATTTGAAAAAAGGCTGAAGGCCCATAGTGCCTTCCTAACCTATGTTTTTTGTTTTTTGGTTTTTTTTTCTTTTTTTCCCTCCTGTGACATTCAAAAACATAGTCCCTTTACAACCCCACTTTCTGCAAACCTCAGGGAATAATGCTACATGTGGGTGCCTGATGTCCACTCTCAGACAGGTGACAGCAGGCCCTCATCATAGAATTCAGGGACAGTTCAGACCAAATCTATACTTGGACTTAAAGGCTAACTTGATTCCCTTGCCCCAACTTACCTCTCGTTCTTTTTGTTTTTAAATAGGTATATGTGCTCCCTGTCATTGTTCCACTATTCTGAGTACTTAGTCACAGCAGTCAATAATCCCAAGAGTCTGTCCTTGGATTCCTTTCTCCTGAATCACAGTGTGGAGTATACAGTAGCAGCTCTTTCTTCTTGGATAGAGTTCACACTTGAAAATATCTTCTGGCCAGGTCAGTGTGCCCTTCTTTCCCTTCTGCAGGGGAGATGGGTGGCTTCCACGTGGGCCTCAGGACGGTGACGTGGGTTCACCTCTCAGGTCTAATCTCCCCGAGTGATCTTCCCCAGACCTCTATCCTCACTAAGCTTTTTATAAAGGACAAGCTCCACTTGTGAATTCCGCTTCTGGAGTTTGAATGGAGGATGTGTTGACCTTACGCTTTAAGCCTTGCAGGACGTAGTGTGTACCATTTAACGTGAAGTCCCAACGTCTGATAGCTGTAATACCAGTTTTACAGTCAGAAGATTTGGATCTGTTCATTTTCTGTGACTTGAGAAATTTCATGTAAAAATTTTATTAGCAAAAACTACTGCATCTGGAACCTACTCTGACACTGAACTTTCCACAGCAAGTTAAATGAAATGCATGTAGTTCCTAAGATTCAGTAAAGGGCCAAGGCGGGAGACGCTGGATCCTTCTCGGCTTCACTTAGCTGTCTTTGTCCCCAGAGGAAGGATGGGAGCGTGTGTGTGGGGGTGTGTGTGGATGAGAGCCTGTCACCTCTTTGCCGTGACACTCTAACTGGGCTGTTGGCGGTTTAACGTGAATGGGTGAACAGCACAACTTAGGGGAATGTGTTTTGTTTATAATTAAATTTTAGTGTGATGACAGATGCCGATTGCCCACTAGCATGTGTTCTAGTGTTCCTGTCTTTCGAAACATAGGTTAATTTTAAGCATGCAGAGGGGAACTCAGCAGTCCAGGGTCTTCACTCCCCGGTTGTCACCATCCCTCTCCTGCAGAACTGAAGCAGATCACCTGGCTCAGCGCCACGGGGCTGCTGATGGTGGTCTTTGGAGAGTGTCTGCGGAAAGCGGCGATGTTTACAGCTGGTTCCAATTTCAACCACGTGGTGCAGAATGAAAAGTCAGAAACCCACACTCTGGTGACAAGCGGAGTATACGCTTGGTTCCGGCATCCTTCTTATGTTGGGTGGTTTTACTGGAGTATCGGAACCCAGGTATGGTATCAGATACGATACTGGTCTCCTTTAAAGTTTTTAAAAATATGTTTTAAATCGACATATAATTTAAATATCATAAAATTCACCATTTCAAAGTGTATAATTCAGTAGATTTCAGTGTATTCACGAAGTTGTTGGTCTTTTTAATTTGTTTGCCATTGTCTTTTTTTTTTTTTAAGTGTTGTGTTTACTTATTTATTTATTTATTGGCCACGCCATTGCAGCTGGTGGGATCTTAGTTCCCTTAGCAGGGACTGAACCTGGACCCCCTGCAGTGGAAGCATGGAGTCTTAACCACTGGACCATCAGGGAATTCCCTGTTGGTCCTTTTTAAATAGGTACACGTGTTCCCTGCCATGTTTCAAGTGATAGTTAAATAAAAGTCAAAAGAACTGATTTAGTCTTTAGCGCTTTTTGCTATGTACTTAAAATCTGGGTGTCCTAAGCTTGTAAACTTTCGGCGATTCTAGGTGCCGTTACCCCCTCTGTCGTACCCCTTTTCTGCCTCTTTAACTTAGATCTGGAGCATCCCAGTGGGATGAGGACAGACATGGGGCTTTGGGGAGAGCCCTCTGCCACTCAAGGGGCAGCTTAGCTGATTTTCATTAGAGGCTGCTGTGGATGAGCCCAGGGTCATGTGTCAGGTTTAACATGAGCGATGGAGGTTTGCTCTGTCTCAGGCTGCAGACCGAGCCTTGTTTCTTGAGCATCGTCTCTTGAATCTGCTTTCTTAGTCCTAGAAGGACTTGGACAGAGAATGTGGATAGAGCTGAGAAAACTCATCATCTCTTCGGGAACATCCAACCCGGGCCCCCAGGCATCCCATTGCAGTGCCTGGTATGGGGGGCACTCTGGTGACCCCCAGTGGTGTAGTAGGTTACTGCACAGCACTTGTGTGAAAACTTGCAACCCTGAAACTGAAGACTGCCGCATTAACAATCACATTCCCCGGGAACAGGTTGACTGTAGTGGAATCATGTAATTTGCCGTAAGTGCTATAACTAATAAACCTAAGTGCTCTAGGACTGGACAGCTTTTCATACTTCTTTGCCTATAGATCTTTCTACACCATGACCCAGCACACAAGTGTGTGTGACAACTGCACAGATCTTTCCTGAGCAACACTCACCCTGACTGTGTACAAAACACTGTTTCCTATCTTGTTAGTGTTTGTAATGCCGTTTCGGATGCACGGGGTTGATCTCCTGGCTCCACGACGGGCTGTGGCTTGAGACTGTGAAACCCCGCTCTGGGGTCCCTGGCGGGCGGGCGGGTGGGGCCGGTCCGGCTCTAACATCAACTGATTGGCCTCCGTTTCCTTGCGGGTTAAGCGGGGGCGGCAGCGCTACTCAAGAGGCTTGCTCTGGGCGTCGAATGGCTTACTGGCTGGTGGTAAAGGGCTTGGCATGTGCTGGGAACACAGTAGGTGCTCAGTAAACAGTGGTGAGAAGAAGTGAGGTCACCCATATGGGGAAGACGTACGTCCCGGGCGGGGGCCGGGGGGTCCGTCGGAGTGGGCAGGGGTGGATCAGTGGGCTCCCTGAGCTACACAGAAGAAGTGGGCCGAGGAGCTGCTTTCCTGGGCTTCGAAAGCTGGGCTAAGGAGGCGTGGTTGAGGCCTTCGTGCTTTCTGAACAGGGGAGTGATCTGATGGGAGAAGTGGTTTTGGGGGCTCAGCTGATAGCAATGTATCGACGGCACGTACGCAGGAAGGTTGCGGGGGCCAGAGGCAGGAGGCCAGGCAGCTGTGGGGTGGGAGGGAGCGTGCTAGGAAGGGGGCAGGCTGGGAGCCACGCGGGAAGGCAGTGGTGCTTGGAATGGGAATTCACGTATGGGGGTGGAGGGAGGAGTTGCCAGCACCCCTGCCTGGGGGTTGAAATCCAGGAGGTTGCTCTTTCCTTTCAGTTTTCAGGTATCTCTCAGGTAAGAGGAACAACAGAAAAGCGTACGAACGAAAGCTACAGTGATGGGTGTTTAGCCCTGTTGTGAAAGTGATGGTGTGGTTTCTGTTAATGGCGCCCTGGCTCAGGGTCTCAAAGACCCTAGTGATGTTTCAAGAGTTTCTTGGGCCCTTGGCAGGAAGTCCTCTGTGGTCATTGGAGAGCAGCACATGCCGCTAAAGTTCAAGGTTTCGGGTCACACTGACCCCAGTCCACTAACCCTGTGTCCCTTCGTCAGGTGGTGCTGTGTAACCCCATCTGTGGCGTGAGCTACGCTCTGACAGTGTGGCGCTTCTTCCGCGACCGGACAGAGGAGGAGGAGATCTCGCTGATTCACTTTTTTGGAGACGAGTACCTGGAGTATAAGAAGCGGGTGCCCACGGGCCTGCCTTTCATAAAGGGGGTCAAGGTGGAGCTATGATAGGCCCGGGCGGCCCAGGCCAGGCTGGGGGGCCCCCCCCCACTCCAGGCAGCGTGGGACGGAACTGCTTCCTGTCGGCCACTCTGCAGAACGGACTTTCTTAAATCATTTTGTGTGTCACCAGTGACTCTTCTGGAATATCACTCAAGATCAAATGGTCAGAAGGCCTTAGGACCAAAGGACCCCACTCCCACCCCCACTCCCACCTCCCCGCTGCCCGGGCAGCCTGTTCCCGGGCTGCATCAAGGTAGGACGTAGATTAAAGGTGGACAAGAAGCGAATAACCGCAGTCCTTGGCAGTGACCGCCGACGCGCCTGGGCAGAGCCTAGGCCACACTCCCTCCCCCACGAGGCCAGGGCTGTTAAGTTGTAACCAAGACCCTTGGGGAGAAGTGGGCTCACTCTTGATGCTGAGTGAGGCTCCTGCAGCAGGAAGGGGTATGTGGGCACCAGTACTTACTAGTGTTAGAAACCCATTCAGAATCCTTACTTTGACCGAAACACACAAACAGCACAGCTTTAACCTCCCTGTTTCTGTCCTTAAGTGCATGAGCATCTCTACAATTTTAAAGACACTTCCTTATAAGGCACTTTGGCTCTTCATATATCTCATCATGTTTACTTACCTGTTTTCAAAAACAGCAGTATGAACTCAGGGGACTCGCTTGGCGTGTGAGCCCCACCTTTCACTTGGCAGAAAGGCAGCACAGACACCTCCAGATGACTCAGCTGATGCTCTGTGTTACCAGGGCTCCCCGGGCCAGGGACACTGTGGGCCCCTGTGGCTTTCCTGGGTCCTGGCTCCTCCCAAAGGGGGCTATTACCAGTGACAGGCATGTCAAAGGTGTGTCATTTCTCCTTTATCCAAAAAAATGCTTCCTGGACACCTGCTCTGTGCAAGGCATTGTTAAACGTTGAGAAATACTGCTCTCCGTTTACTTGGGGTTTTTTCTTATTCTATCATAGCTTATATTTTTGTGTTTTGACTTAAATCTGTTAACCATTGATTTCTATGTTCTGTTCTCAAAATTCCATCGTCCCTAATGCCATTTCAAACTATCTTTTCCAAAGGGGTTTGAGCATAAACAACTATGAAATTCAGGCAAGCCAACTCATGAAAAAAATAGGGCAAATAATCCCAGCTGAGATTTAGTCAGTACTTTTGTTTTCCAAGTTCGGGAAGATTGGCTGGCTTTATGAATCAAACATGTAAGCTTTGAGACCCTTGTTGAATTCTGGACCAGAGAGCAACTTGCTCTCAGTGTGAATTCCTTCCATGCAGTCCTGCAGTGGCACCAACAGAGCGTGAATCAGAGGTGGCATCGGCCCCTGGCTGGAGTGCTGCCACGCGACGCGACGCGACGCGACGCGGTTTTCAAGGAGCCACTAAACCTTTCCGTGCCTAGACCTCCCCATCTGTAGGATGGGGTCAATACCACCTACCTCGCAGGGGTCTTGTGAAGACTTAGAAGAACAATGTCAAACGTTTTTAATACTTTGGTGACAGAGATGACATAAACGAAACCAATATTGCATGAATTACACAAAAATGGACATTTGATTCACTGTACCAGATACCGGAAATGTGTGTTCAAAAAAGCATTTTACCAACTCAAAATATTAACTTATTTCTAGATTTCATGGCCTAATTAGTTTTTTCATCATTATATATACCAAAGAGGTTTACAGGTTCATCGGTGACAGGTGTGACATTTGCTGGTTTGAGGACCGGACAGATTCCAGCCTCGGCCTCCTGAGGTCTCGCAGACAGACAACCCAGGCAGCAACCAGGGTCTCGCGGCAGATTCTTCTGGCGGGAACACTGCCCGGCGGGACATCAACATGCACTTACTGTGTCTGGGGACTTGAATCAGTGGTAAACTTGTTCTGCAGACCACTCCTAGTGAAATACACTCCCCTTCATAGGATTGCAAAACTGAGGAGGGTGTAGCTGGGGTTTTGGCGGCCACCCCCAGCTCTTTGAGGGAAAGTCCTTTCTTGCTGCATCTAGCAGGTTAGGACCCAGCTGGGGGTCGTGAAGTTGTCTCTTTAGCAGATGGAGAGGAGCTAGTGACAACCCTGGCTTTGTGGACAGTAAGGCCGGAGGTGTTGGCCTCTGACGGTCTGTCCTTCACCGGCCTGCCAGGCCTGGAGCTCAGGAGGCAGGCCCTGGTGTCGGCAGGGAGATGCTGCTGTCACACCACCTGGGCTGGACGTGACATTCTGCTCTGCTTGAAAGAGCAGTTCCACTAGCAAGTTCCCACCCTGATTTGTAACCCAGGGCGGAAGTCCGCAGTTACTTGGGGATCAAAGATGAACTACTTAGGGGCAGGATTTGGCAAATGATTGACTTTCATCTAGCACTGAGATCTTCAGGTTATTTTTAACTTTATAAATTCAGCAGTGACAGCGCACAAGGAAGAGAATCAGGTTAATGGGGTACAGGCTTTTTGGGTATTCCCGAAAGCTTATTTTGGGGAAAGGCCACATCACCGGTTCCCTCAAATTAAGAAACCGTCAGGAGATTTCTTCTTCCATTGCAGGTTTCAAAGCGGAGACTCTGAAATGGAAAATAGGCACTGCACAGAACAAAGCTATTTTGAAGCAGTGCAAAGTGAAACACTTCACGAGGGTTTGCAGGCTGGGGCCGAGACCGGCCGTTTACTGAAACGAGGTTGTAGGTGAGCCTGGCAGAGGGCAGGAGGCAGCCACCCCGCCGGCCCTTCATTGTCATACACTGCAGCATAAGCCTACAAAGTGAGCTTTATCAACCCGCTTCCACTTACTTAGCACTCCGGGTGCTTAACATGATGGGGGAACATCGCTAAACCAGCCGGTTGTGTTGACAGGTGAGGTTCCGTAGGGTCTCGACCGCAGCTCCGTTTGGTCGCAGCCCCTCTGTGACCGGAAGAGTGAACCACTGTCCGTTCTCCGCACTTTCTTACTGCCTTAGATAGTTGTGCTCTCCCTCTGTGTTTTGCTTCTGCAGTGACTTGGTGAGGCCAGGCGACCCCAGCCTGTCTGGCATGGTGCGAGAGGCTTGCTGTCTGTGCCCTGCTGTGGAGGCCTGACGCCCTGTCCTGGGCTCGGTCCCAAGTGCTTGCTCCTGCAGGACTGTCCCATAGCTTAGGCTAGGAGAGTAACCTAATGGGGTAATTACTCTTCTTTTTACATGCAGAAATGTTTATTTAAATATTGGATTTTCTTTCACAGAAATTATTTCCAATGCTTAAATAAAACTGTACTTGATTTCACTATGAACAATAGTATGATCGTGTGGGATTCAGAAACTTTTTTTTTTTTTTGAATATTTATTTATTTATTTGGCTGTGCCGGGTCTTAGTTGCAGCATGCAGGATCTTTTAGTTGCGGCATCCGGGATCTAGTTCCTTGACCGGGGATCGAACCCGGGCCCCCTGCATTGGGAGTGCAGAGTCTTGACTACTGGACCACCAGGGAAGCCCCCAGAAACTCTTAAGGTCATTTTGCTTCTGGCTAAGAAATGTCCAAGACCTACAGCGTAAAACCAGATGTGTTTTGCCTCCTCGATTCTGTTCTGGAGTCCTACCTCTAACCAGTTTGTAATGACAAGTTCCTCCAGCCCCCCAGGCTACCGTGGACGTTTGTGATGCTCTGGGATGGGAACGTCTGACAGAGCAGGTGTGGAGGTGTTGGGTACGGACGTGGCGGATGCGTCAGCGTATTGACCTGCAGGCCCACCTGGCACGTAGAAGCCACTCGCCGTTTGAACCACTGAATCAAGCTGATGTTTGCTTAAAGCATGATTCTTTGGGCATCGTTTTGCCTCCGAGACTTTACACTTTAGGTCATGCAGGTTAATTTTCTTTTTTAAGCATTTTGTTTAAGTTCCGCTTGATAAAACGGGTACTGGGTAGGAGTGGAAAACCACTAGAGCGAAGTTGCTGGTGAATCGTGCTTTAATACCAATAGAAGGTGAACACAGGAAAGTGACAGCAGGCGGGGGGGACAGCGGTGGGGAAGTCGTGACGGAGGCCATCTCCTGCCATGCAGGCCACCAGGTGCTATCGCGTTGCTTTATGCGCTCAGTGAGAAAAGCTGGAGCGAAGGGTTTTCTCCCCTATGCTGAGTCAGCGCTCAGATTAGCGGGGGGAACTTTCCAGCGGCGCCCGGTGAACAGTGGGGCTGTGCTTCAGGCGGAGCCGGATTCCTCTGTGGTAGGGCAGGTGCTGCACAGTGGGCGAGTCTCATCACCCGAAATTCAGACGGGCGCTCACAGGACTAGCACACAGACGCCAGGGAGGTGCAGGGGCAGTGAGGGGCTTCAGGCTGGACGTTCACTCGTGTAACGTTTTCCACGCCGACTGGGATGCCGTCCCGAGTCACCTTGATGAGGACCAAGACTCGGGGCAACACGAAGTCTAGCTCAAGCCAAAGAGCCTGAAACTGGGACCTGGCAGAGAGTGTCTGGGTTTTTCTGCTGATGCATGATTGTTACACATTAAACAGGAAATCATGACGGGAACCGCCTTTTCTTAAATACGCCAGCATTGATGTGCACGTTGTAAGACGCCCGACCTCCGGGAGCTGTCCCATGCTAAGCTGGGCGCTCTCTCCATGTGGGGACGTCACCCCCGTTTTTCGGTTTGGGTCTGTGAGAATCTTTATTTTTTAGTGGAGGCTCTTCTGCGAGGCTGCTCAGGGTCCGGCTGTTTCTCGGCTCTGAGGTCTTCTCTCTCCTCTCCGAGACACTCACTGGATCGTTCCTAAAGAAACACTTAATGTGAGCTCCTCTCTGCTCCCCTGTCTCACTGTGTCCCAGTGCTAAAATCCACCCAGGCAGAGGCTTTCAGAACGGCCAGCCTTCCGGGAAGGCACCAGCGGGTGGTAGAACCTTAACTACATCATCTCCTAAAGGATTTTTTTTTTTAAAAATAAACTTATTTATTTATTTTTGGCTGCATTGGGTCTTCGTTGGCTTTCTCCAGTTGTGGAGAGCGGGGGCTGCTCTTCATTGTGGTGCATGGGCTTCTCATTGCGGTGGCTTCTCTTATTGCAGAGCACGGGCTCTTGGCGTAGCGGGCTTCAGGAGTTGTGGCTCGCGGGCTCTAGAGCGCAGGCTCAGTACTTGTGGCGCATGGGCTTAGTTGCTCGGCGGCATGGGGGATCTTCCCGGACCAGGGCTCGAACCCGTGTCCCCTGCATTGGCAGGCAGATTCTTAACCACTGCACCACCAGGGAAGCCCCTCCTAAAGGATTCTTATTCACTTCTGATGACTTTTAGTTGCCAAAACATCGGCAGTGCTGACCGTTTCAGTGGCTTGTGGTGACCCGGCTCTTTGAATTGACCCTCCCCTGAAGCATGATGCCTGGGAGGGTAGGGCTGCTTTCTGCTCTGTGGCTCTAGATGCAGCAGACCTCTCCCTGCCCCCAGGCCCTTTTAGCTCTGACTTCCTACAACTCCAGAGAACTACAAAAAGATCAGCCTGTGATAGTGACACATCTGTTATCGCACATTCTTTTCTCCCTCTGGCAGTCATTTTGGCAAACACTGTGGCTCCAGTGAGTAACAATGCTCTCTCACAGGAGGAAATAACCCGCGATCCCTTTTTCTCGAGTCACAGTGGTGTAGGAGCCTGCGCTCTCAGAGGTGTGGGTTGGGCAGGCGGCAACCACGGCTGTCCCTAGTTAGAAACCTCACGTCATGTCTATCAAGGTCACATCTGTCACGAGGTCATCTGTTTGAAGGCACCGCCCAGTTTAAGAACCCCTCTGACCCTGTATTTTACACACTGAGGCCCAGCTGAGGCCGTAGAGCTAGCTGGTCAATGGCAAGTTGGGACCAAAAGAAAACCGGAGGTCAGTCTTTGTCGCCTGTATTTGTCTCTGAGATTACATCGTTTGCCCGCTCAGGTTGGAAAGACTCACTTTACCTGGCCTGGGCCTCGCCGTTCACGCCATCATCATGCGTGTTTTGGAGATGGTCTGACGGTTCATCCACAGGGGCCTGAAACCTGCGTGAGAGAAAGCAGTTCCCAGGAATGCGGATGCAGCAGAGCCAGCCCACTGCGTGTGCTTAGGCTCACTGCACAGACACCGAACTTGAGCAAACACTTTGGGCCTCAGATATTTACCGAGGGCCAGGGCCACGGCAGTGGACGAGAGAGGCTGGGCCCTGCTCTCGTGGGAGACCCGTTCTGCGGGGGGAGACACGCCAAGGTTGGGAAGGAGCCCCAGCGGGACGGATGGTGGGGAGTGACAGTGAGGGAGACCTGCTTTCACTAGGGTGGTTTGCGAAGGCCTCCCTGCTGACAAGACCTGGGTGATGAGGTCCATGGAACAAGAAGAAGCAAGAACATTCCAGGCAGAGGCAGGGAAGTGGCAGCCAGTCTAGCTTCTTTGCGGGACTGAGAGGCCATTGTGCCTGGGGTGTGGGGAGAGGCCGATGTGGTCAGAGGTGGGCAGAGAGGGTCCCAGAAGGACTTTCAGGCCCTAGCACGATAGGCTTTAGAAAGACCACTGACTGTGGCATGCTGGAGGGGCCAGGGTGCGGGGCTTGACAACGGCGGCTTGGATTGAGGGTCACAGTCGAGACAAAGCAGGCGGACCAAGAGAGTTGAGTCAACAGGACTTGAGGATGGGTTGGCAATAAGGGATGAGGGAAAGAAAGGAATCCAAGTCTCCTGGGCTTTTTACTTGAGCACCTGGGTGACTGTGATGCCTTCACTGAGATGAAACAGGAGTAGCATGTTCGGGGGGGAGGAAACCAAGTTCGGGGCCATTGTGCGGTTTGAGGTGCCCTGAGACCACCAAGAGGAGACTCCCCCAGGAGGGGGCACTTGGAGATGAGTCTAGAGCTTGGGCAGATCTGTGCTGGGGAGGGGGATTGGGGGTCATCTGCAATACCATGGGGTTTTAAAGCCAGGAGACTGGGTGAAGCCCCTTAAGGAGAGGGCGTAGGATAAGGAGAATGCCTGGGACTGAGCCCTGGGGAAAACTGACATTTGGGCCTTGAGCCAAGGGGGCAGAGCCCAAAGCCAAAGAGACTAAGAAGGAACAGCTGGGGGACTTCCCTGGTGGCCCAGTGGTTACGACTCTGCGCTCCCAAAGCAGGGGGCCCGGGTTCGATCCCTGGTCAGGGAACCAGATCCCACATGCATGCTGCAACTAAGAGTTCGTATGCCACAACTAAGCAGCTGGCGAGCCGCGACTAAGACCTGGTGCAACCAAATAAATAAAGATAAATTAAAATAAATAAAAATTTAAAAAAGGTTCTCTTTCCCTTTAAAAAAAAAACAAAAGAAGAAGGAACAGCTGGAGGGGCAGGAGGAAAACCAAACCGGGAGTGTGGGGCGTCTCAGAAACAAAAGAAGAGTGTGATGAAGGTGACAGACAGTCCAGGCTCACGATTCGAGGCCAAGGGATGTAGCACACAAGGTGCTGATGGTGGGAACAGGAGCAGATTTGGTAGGTGGGGTTGGTGTGAGCTGCCAGCAGTGGGAGGGGAGGAAGCAGAGGGCAGCTCCAGATACCTGGAAAGCAGTGCTGTGAAGAAGGGTAGAGGCAGCCTCCCTGCTTGCCCCAAACCTCCAGGAGCTGGGCTCCTGCCCGAGCTTTCCATTTGCCGACACCAAGCACGGAGGCCACTTCCCCACAGAGATGTGACTCTGCCGGGGTGTTGCCCCTTGCAGGCAGGCAGGAGCACCCTACTTGAAGCCGGCTGCTCACCGAAGCAGAGCACACAGAAGGGAAAGGACGCCAATGGTAAGAGCACGGCTTAGAACGGGCACACAGCGTGAACAGGCTGGGTAGGCGGCACCAGGATGTCACCTCCACCCAGAGGCCCCCCAGGATAATCCCAATCTCAACTGCTAACACCAGAGGTTAGTTCTGCCTGGTTTTGAGGTTTTATAAATGGAATCACACAGCATCTGGAGTAAACTGCTTAGTAAATGTCAGCTTTGGAGGACATTGTAACTAGTCCTGGCTGGACAGGGATTTGATCAAAATTGTGCAGAAGGCATGATGAGTGCAACCTCTCAGTGTGACGTTAAAATAGTCACTTTAAAGGTGGCTTGGCAGTTCTGGATTAATACAGCAATTGCGCGCACACACACACACACACACACACACACAAATTTTTCCTTCTTCCCCAAACTCATTAAAACTAGTAAAGGGACCAAAACAATGAGGGGGAAAAAAACCTCTCCAGGTTGACAGCAGGAAAGGATAACAGCAAAATTTTGGAACTGGAGAGCATGTAGACAATGGTCACTAATTCAGCAGACCTGAGCGGCGGAGGCCCGACCAGTTCCCACCACAGAATCCTCAGGGGGCCCAGGAACGGGTAGCCCCAATGCCTCTGCAAGTAGGAGGGTGGGACTGAAATAGGACGATGAAGGTCAAGATCCCTACCTCCGAACCGCTGCCCCCACCCCCAATACTGAAGGGTTAGTCTCTGGGAGGGTGCGACACACCGTGAGAACTACTGAAAGACAGAAAGTCAGCTGTGTGTACAGATGCTCCATACGGTGACATTCCAGGAAGGAAACTGGGCAAAGATCTAAAACTGACATTGGGGCATCAAAACTAAGACAAAGCAAAACAAAAAACGCTGCCCACCCAGATGCCTTACACCGAAGCACCGCCCATGTGCTCAGAGCTTCCAGCCTGCTCTCCTCCACCCCAACTCCTAACATGAACCGGTAATTGAAGATTTCCTGACAGCTGAGAAAAGCCTTTAACAGGGAAGGTAGAAACCCAAATAAAACGTAACTTGGAGGAAACAGACTTCAGGGAGAAGGAAACTTAAAAAAACAAAAGCAAAAAAACATCTATCGGCCCCCAAAGGGGGTAAGATATTCTGTCCATGCAACAACAGAATGCTGTGTAACAAGAGCAGTCAGGGTACCAAAAACACCTCTTTGGAAATGAAAAACAATTTAAAACATTTAAAAGAGCTCTTGGAAATTTTCTTCGAAAATGAAGAACTAGGGCTTCCCTGGTGGTGCAGTGGTTGAGAGTCCGCCTGCCGATGCAGGGGACACGGGTTCGTGCCCCGGTCCGGGAAGATCCCACATGCCGCGGAGCGGCTGGGCCCGTGAGCCATGGCCGCTGAGCCTGCGCGTCTGGAGCCTGTGCTCCGCGACGGGAGAGGCCACAACAGTGAGAGGCCCGCGTACCGCAAAAAAAAAAAAAAATGAAGAACTAAATAGAAGAGTCAGAAGGTAAGAGAGGAAATCTCCCAGCAAGTATAGCAAAAAGATGAAGAGGTGGAAAACAAGACTGAAAAGAGATGGTAAATCAGAGGGCCAGCCCCGGAAGGCCAATACCCAATAAGAATTCCAGAAAGAGAAAAAGTGGAGAAAATCAACTAACCAGTTCAAGAAGAAATATGCCCAAACAATTTCCAGATTGAAAGGACCCACCGCTACCCAATGGACGGGACTAGACCCTCACCAACGTGAAATTTCAGAACGCTGGGAGCAGAGAAGATTCCACAAGCTTCTGAAGAGAGAATAAGCGGGGACTTACCCAGTGGTCCGGTGGGTAAGACGCTGTGCTCCCAATGCAGGGGGCCCAGGTTCGATCCCTGGTTGAGGAACTAGATCCCGCATGCGTGCTGCAACTAAGAGTTCACACACTGCAACTAAGAAGTCCGCATGCCGCAACTAAAGATCCCGCATGCCGCAGCTAAAGATCCCACGTGCCGCAACTAAGACCCGGCACAGCCGAAATAAATAAATGAATAAATATTAAAATAAATAAATAAATAAGGAGAATAAGTGGGTCACATTACAAGGATTAGGAATCAGAATGCCTTCAAACTTCTCAAAGATAGCCTTGGAAGCTAGAAGACAATAGAGTGATGCCTTCGAAGGAGAATCATTTCCAACTTAGAATTTCCATCTAGAATTCAATACCCAGCAAAACTATCAGTCAAGTGCAAAGGCAGAATAAAGATATTGCAGCCTTATGCTGTTCAAAACACGTCCCTTCTCTGTACCCTTTCTCAAGGAGCTGCTTGGGGGATAGGCTCCACCAAACCATGAAAGAGGACACGTGTCATATGGGCATCAGGAGAGCTCACTTTGGAGTGAGGCAAACGGAGACCCCTGGAGGGTGGTGGAGGGAGAGGCTAGGTTGACCACTGTGTACCAGCCCTACAGGGCAACCACCCTGGGGCTCAGACTTGAGAGGCAGGCACACTGAGGACCTGCCACTGTTAACACCTCCAGTGCTCAAGTATGGTGCTGAGAGCCTGGTCCAGGTTCCTATCTAGACTTGTCTTAACCGTGTACTGGGGAAGTTCTCTTTGCTCTGTGTCCTGCTGTCTGGATCAGCTGAGGACCTTCATTACACCCCCAAGGTGTAAAGGGATGGGCAATTGTGTGCCTAAAAGCAGAAACTCAGAGCAGCCTGCTCATTCTGTGTTTTGGCAGATGTCCAGCACCTGGTCCTCCCAGATGCCCTGATTAAACCTTCATGACCTGGCCCACTGACTTCCCTGAAAGGGGCTCTTCCAGAGGTGTGGCACCTTTCCTACGCACATTCTGAAGTGTCTTGGTTCCCCCGGAACACTCCCTGCTCTCACCTGGGCTCTAGCCGCTCCTTCACCTTGGCAATGGAGCGGACGTAGGGCGTGATCTGCTTGGTGATGGTGGTCAGGTAGGCATTCTCCTGCTTCAGCTGGAGAAGGTCATGGAGCTGGGCTGTGGGGGCCCAGGCCAGAGCGTTAGGTCTTGTTGGCTTCAAATTCTTACTCTCCAGCCTTGAACCATCTAAATAACCCAACTATTTCAGTGATTACCTCTAATTAAAGAGTGAGGTAAGACTTGTGAAGGCATCCTACTTACTGAATCCTGATCTCAGATATATCATTTGGGGGCCGGTTAGCAGCTGTGAGGCAAAGTCAAGAGCTAGGGGGAAGAGCACGGGGGTTTGTATCTGGTTAGTGGGTAACTGGCTTCCTCCCCCTGAAAGCATGTGGATTAGCTCCAGGACAGGGGTGCACCCAGCAGCTGCCCGGGACCTTCATAAATCTCCTGCTCGTTAGCCACGCGCTGGTAGGATTCCTCCCAAATCTGAAAGAGAAAGTAAGTTGGATATTGCACGTGGCCGTGAGTTGGAATTTCCCTTGGCAGCATTTCTGTCCTCTAGCTACTCAGAGCCATAGGGCACTCCCAGCCAGTTCACGTGGTTCCAGGCAGCAAAGGCCCAGGTTCCAGAGCCTGCCACACGAGGGCCTCCTGGGGCACCAGGCCAAGGTCCTCCTCCCCCTTCCTGTCTTGGGGTAGCTCATGTACATGCTGACAGGTGGGGCTGCAGGGGAGGGAGGTTCCTCGGGAAGGGCTACCTCCTGGAAGACTGCTCTCATGCCCTCCACGGAAGCATACTCCAAGGCGATCTGTGTGTCCACCTGCAGGGACTTGTGCAGGATATCACCCATGATCTCGGCCTTGATGAGCGAGTGGTGCTTGGTGAGGTCCCGGTGCAGCTCCTGTACCTGGTCCTTCAGGTTCTGCATCTCTGCCTGCAGGCGCTGGGGGGAGAGACGGCGTGAGTGCCTGTGTTACCTGCAGGCTGGGTGCACTGCGGGGGCCTCAGTGGAGGGACGGCTTGCAGGCCAGGTGGCCAGGACTAGATTTGGCCACTGCACCTTGGCGAGAAGGGGTGGGGCCTTCCCCAGCTGGCAGGTCCCTGGCCCCCTCACCCGGTAGGAGTTCTCAAAGTGGCGGCAGTGTTCCGTGAAGGGTGAATCGTCGCCCTCTGCCAGCAGCACCTTGGTGCTGATGGACCGGTGCAGCGTGGGCTTTTGGACCGGTGACCCCAACATCTTTCCCACGGGGGAGGGGCAGCTGGGTCCCATCAGCACCTTGGGGCCCGAGCCCCCTGCTAGCCTGGGGAGAGAACTAGTGTGGATGTAGACGTGGGGGTTCCAGAGGGTCTTCCCTTCCTCCAGCCTCCCAGCGCGTTCTCAGCCTTCTCAACCCTCTCACCCCAGGCTGCACACCACAACCACGCAGGAGCTCTGAAAAAACCTGATGCAAGGCTGTGTGCACCCAAGACCAATGGCATCAGCAGGGTATTTTGTTAAATCCTGAGGGTGACGCCAACGTGCAGAAGCGTCCACCAGGATATCCTCAGACAGTGTGTTCACCCACACACACTCGACCTTGCAAATTTGGCTTGATGCCCAGTATCCCTTGCCTGGGGCCCTGGAGCTCTTAGCAGACGTATCCAGCTTAGGCATTTCTCCTAACTCCCCCGGGGGTCTCCAGCTCTCTAGACTGGGCGGAAGTCAGACCCCCTGCGGCTTCTGGAGACCCAGGCCCCACCCTAAGCTACCCCTTCCTTTCAGGGCTTAGGCACCCCAGTCCGGGTGCAGCGGCGGCGGTTGGGGGAGCCCCTGAGTCCCTCTGTCCACCCCTGGCCTGGCTCCACTCCAGGTCAGCCACGCGCTTCCGATCCAGGGCGGCCCCGACGGCTGTTTCCAGGCTGGGCGGACTCTCCCTCCCGCGTGGACATCTTTGCGGAGCCCAGACGCGGCGCGGGGAGCTCGGCGAGCTGGGAAGGGCGGCCCCCACCCCAGCGGGGACCTTGTGCCCGCATCCCCTTCCCGGTCCCGGCGCCCCTGCGGCTCACGTGCTGGTACCGCCCCCGGCACCCGCCGCCCGGCGCGGTCCCAGCAGCAGCAGCGGCTCCAGGCAGCGCGCGAACTCGGCGCGGTAGTCGCTGGCGATCTGGGGGGACGGACGAGCTCGTGAGGCAGCTCCAAACTCCGCGGGCCTCCGCCCCCGGCCCGGCCCACCCCGCGGCCCCGCCCACCTTGCTGCTCTGTGCGGGCCGTAGGCGATGTGGCCGCGTGACGATGCCCTGCAGCCTCTCCACCAGCTCCTGCGCTCAGGTGGGTGGGGGCGTGGGGGTGACAGGGAGGCGGGAGGACCGGAGGACGCGTCCGTCTTTAGGATTTCACCTGCCATCCAATCCTTCCACACCACCCCTGCCCCCAAATCCACAGGAAAGACTGGGGGGTCTGGACTCCAGTAGACACTCTGCACTTTGGGGGAGAGGCTTATGCTCCCTTCTAGGCTTTGCTGTCCTCTTATTTTTTTATTTAGTTTTTGGCCGCGCTTTGCGTGGCTTGCGGGATCTTAGCTCCCCGACCACCAGGGATTGAACGGGGTGGAGTCCTAACCGCTGGACCGCCAGGGAATTCCCTGCTGTCCTATTAAAAGGGGTTCAGCCAGCCCCTAAATGTTTTGTAGATGATGGTGTGGAAGAAGGGGCTACCCAAAGACCCCCTGGTCCAGCCTCCAGGTAACAGGCTGCCCAGCCCTGAGGTGGGGGGCTCTGGTGTGCAGGGTGGGTTCCTGGTGGGGAGGGGGGGAGACACAGAATCTGTGGGCACTCACATAGCCCAGGTCCAGGAACTCAGCCTTGTTGGCCAAGCTGAGGAAGGAAGAGCAGATGGCCAGGTGGACCTGTGAGAGGGACACTGCTCAGTGCCTGGGCTGGGTGCCTGGCCCTGTGCCCCCAGCTCCCCTTACCTGGAGGGTGGGCAGCAGAGTAGCCAAATGGGAGAGCTGCTCCTTGAAGGCCTTGTCCTTTTCTTCATACTGGCTGGGGGAGGAGCAGGCAGCCTCATCTCCAAGGGGAGGGCTGCCCACCCCCACTTTGGGGGCGGGCTCAGAGCTGGGTGGTTCCATCTCCCCACCAGCTTTGTGCATCCTTCCTTGACACCCCTTCCCTGAGCCCTGAGCTTTCCTCCTCACCGGTAGACACCTGGATGTCTTGCTCTCCAGGGTGGGCCGGCGCCTGCCCAGGCTATGAGATAGGTGTCTGGAGGTCAAGGGGCAGGGGATGGAGAGCCCGCCACCACTCACCTCTGCACAGCCTGCAGCAGCAGCGCTTTCCTCTCTGCCAGTTTGTCCTGGGAGGGAAGGTCTGCTACTGGCTGGGCAAACTCCGCCCTGCCACCTCCCAGCGCTCTCCCAGTCCCCTGGGCCCCAGCCACACAGCTGCTTAGGCTGGCTCTCTCCAGCCCACCAGCGCTGCTGCCCGGGCCACCTCCTTCTTGCATCTCACCGCCTGAGAGCCCTGGTGCCCTCACCTTAAATGTCACCTCCTGGGGGAAGTCTTCCCTGACACCCTCTCACCACCAGCGCCAGCCTGGGGCAGGCCCGTGCTCCACCTCTAGAACTCTCCTGGCAGCTACGATGATTAAGTAACTTCTGAAAGCAGCTCAAGACTTGCTGCCCTGCTACACTGGAAACTCCACACGGGCCCCCGGGGGGAGGGGCCTGCCCTGTGTCCCGGGCACCGGCCATGGCTGATAAGTATGCTCAGCCTGTGGCCGCCTAGTCCCCCCTACCCCTCACCTGCATGCTGCCGAAGAGGGCGTGGATGGCGGCCTCCTCATCCGCCGCGCTGCGTCGCACCTCGTCCACCATCGCCTGCAGCAGTGCGATGGCCTCCCCTGTGGCGGTCTGCAGCGCCTTCACCGCCTGGGGACAGGGCGGCCTCAGTCTTGTGGGCGCGCGTTCTCAACCCCCGCCCCGGCGCGCCGGGTGCCCCGCGCTCACCAGCATCGCCTGCTGCAGCCGCTCGCAGCCCTGCACGTACGCCGACTCGAGGTCCACGCAGTGAGCCCGGCTCTCCCTACGCGAGCCCGCGGATGAGCCCTGCTCCGGGCCACCCTCCAGCCCCCTGACCTCCCGCGCCCTCTACCCACCCCTGCATGTCCCGGAAGCAGCGGATGCACAGCAGCGACTTCTTGTCGGTGGAGAACATGATGTAGGGCTCGGCGTGCAGTGCTGCGGCGGAGGGGGGGAGTGCGGCGGTGAGGGCTCCGGCCGGTGCCCGCCCCCATCCCCGCCCAGCGCTGGCCCCCATCCGGCACGCCGCACTCACTGCACTTCTGGAGCACGTCGCGGCTGCGCTGGCCCAAGGCCACGATGTCGTGGAGCGCGAACATGCGTGCCCGGTGCGTCTCATCGCGGCAGCGCGCGCACAGCGGCTGCCCGCACGTGTTGCAGAAGTACGTGGTCTCTGCGTCCTGCGGACAGAGCTCGGGCTCAACCCGCCCGTGAACTGGGAGCCTGATCCCATCACAGCCCGCGAGGGAACTGCAGCCTCCGCACGTCGTGGCTGTGCGTCTTGGCCCCGGCCTGGGGCAGGCGCGCGGTCACATGCAGCCCTTTCATGTAACCCCAACGCGCAGCGCTCTCATGTACCCAGTTTACAGACGAGAATATTGAGGCTCAGAGAATAGGTAAGTAGGTCCAGTAAGGAGCAGTTACCCAGGACGGTCTTGCGGAGGGGGTTACATGGGGTTGTGGGGAGGGCAGGCACTGCATTTGCAAAACATTTCACCTATAACAAAAACGTATGTGTACGCCTGTGTGTGTGTGTGTGAAGCCCCCCCTTGGCGCCCTCACTAGTAGCCACATGGATGCCTACGCCGGCCATCTGGAGTGGGAACTTGGCTGGGAGGCGAAAAGGAGTGAAGACCTGCAGGTGCCCTTCCCCAGGGCTGAGAGTCCTTCCCCAGGGCACTGACCCCAGCAATGGCTATGAAAGCACAGACCCCAACTTCCTACGTTGGCACTCAAGGCCATTTCCTCCCCACGCTCTCCCGACCTCCAGCCCCTCACCTCCTGCTGGTTATGTCTGTACTTCTGCGTAGCACATATTCTAGAACTTGCCCGCCCTCCCAGACCTTTTGCTCCTGCAGGGACATCCTCCTGGGATTTGGAATACCTGGTCCAGCCTCCACAGGCCAGAGAGAGTCTCGCGTGCCCTTCACAGTCCAGCCTGAAGCCTGGCCTCTGCTCCCTGGTCTTTCAGGATCGCCCCTCCCCAACGGCACAATGTCCTCACTTCCCCTTGGGCTGTTGATAGCTGCTCACAGCTACCCAGGTAGCAGCGGACCCCAGAGGGCTGGCCTAGGCCTGTGCCCTGGCATGCCCTTCCTGTTCCAATTCACAACTGTGTTCTGAGTTGGGGACCAGTAAGCTCTCCCCAAATCGAAATAGCCTTAACTCCTGCAACTATCTTGGTGTTGGCCCAAGGCAGTTGTTTTGGACCTCAGTCTCCACACCAGTAAAATGGGGCCCACATTCGGGATACAGGGTGCCTTAGAGAGGCGTTGGAGAATGCCCTGATGGGTGATCCTCTGATGACATGGCACCCACTGCAAGCGTCAGGACAGTGCAACCTGGCACCCTCCGCTCCCCACCCCACCCCCAGGCGCCCCTGCCTGCTTGCCGCACTCCTGGTCGCAGTTGGCACAGCGCACCACGTCCATACCATCCCCTGAGCTGTCCACCAGGAACTGCAACAGCCGATCCACCGGAGGCAGCCCGCTGGGGCCCTTCACCACCGTCTGGTGTCTGCGGAGAAGCTCCAGCCAAGATCCAGAGGCCCCTTCCCTAAGGCTCCCTACCCCCTTCCTACTCCAGACGTTCCAGTCTGGAGCTAAAAATAGGGTGGCGGGAGGTGGGATGCCTGCAGGTCTGATGTCTGTAAATATCTCAGCCAGTGCTCTCTGACCCCGTCCCTTTCCAGTCCTAGGGGAATCTCGGGATGGGGCTGGCGACTCAGGGTGTCAAAGGCAGAAGGCTCCCCTCAACCCCCTCTCATGGCATTGGGCAAATTTAGGGCCACCCCGGGTAACTTGAGCCAACATAACCTGCTTGTGTTGACTGAAGACTTCAGGACCCCCAAGTGAGTTACTGGGAGTGTCCAGGCGCTGAGCTGAGATCCCCTACTCCAGCAGCATTGAATCCGACAGCACGTGCACTCTAGCCCGCCCTCGCCCCCTGACTTTCTGTGGGAGGCCTTGGGCCACAACCCCAGGTCTCAGTTACCCCATCTGTAAAATGGGCTGGAGCCTTCACGTTCTCTGGCAGAGAGGTGCAGGCTGCGGGCAGCCTCTCCCAGCCGTCTCCACAGGGAGTCAGAGCCTTGCCCTCCCAGCACCTAGGTCCCAGCCCAGCGGGGCCAGTCTCCCGTCTTAAGGGGCTCGAGGCACTCACTGGCACAGCGGGCAGGCGAGGCGGCCGTCGGCGGTGCGGCCGCGCAGGCAGCCGGCGCAGAAGTCGTGGAAGCAGTCCAGCAGGCAGGGGTGCTCGTACCGCGCGCGGCACAGCGGGCACACGAGCGGGGGGCCGCTCGCCGCGTCCAGGGCGCCCGGGCCCTCCAGGGGCGCAAAGATAGCTCCCGACATCTTCGGGCACAGCGCAGGAGGGCGGGGGGGCGCCCGCGGCCCCTCTGCCCCGGCGCCGCCTCCCTCCTACCTGGCCCGCTGGACCACGCGCCGCGTCCAGCGGTCGTGGAGCGGGGAGCAGCGAGGGTCCGGGCCTGGGGGCTGGAGCGCCGGGCGCGGAGAGAACGGGCAGGAGGCGCGCGGAGGGGCCAGACCCTGTGCCGCCGCCCTCCCCGCCTCTCCACGGCAGCCCTGGAAGGTCAGTCGGTGCCTCCTACCCAACGCCCAGCCTCCCCGGGCCTCCCCCCTCCCCCCCCCCCCCCCCCAGGAATTCTCCTCCCGGTGTCCTCTGGGTGACCCGCAGCCGACACCCCTTCCGCGCCAGGCGCCCCCAGCCTCGCGCGCGGTGGCCCCGTCCACCTTCCCGAGGCTGGCGCCGGCTGCCTCGCGCCGAAAACCTGGACGGATCTCGGCGCTCGCCGCCGCTGTGACCCAGGGCTCCGGTTACGGCCACGGCCGCGGCCACTGCTCCCCTGGCCCGGAGGAGGAGAGGCGGCAACGCGCGGTTGGAAAGGACCCCGCCGGGCAAGGGTTCGAGGTTCGGACTGGACCCCGCCCGTGGTGACAGAGCCCGGAGCCCGGAGACGCGGGAGCGCCGCGCAGAGCGGGGCCCGAGGACCCTGGCTGCGGGCTCCTCAGGGGGATACGGCTCCGCTGGCTAGGCCGGCTCTGTGCGGTCGGATTTGGGCCGGGACAGGAGTGGGTCCGCGCGGCCCTATTTCCTCGACGGGCAGTCGAGGGTGCCCGAGAGCAGCAGCCGCCCCTCCCTCCCACAGACACTCCAGTTCTCGGGAGAGCTCGTGAGAGGGCTTGGAAGCCCAGGGCTGCCTTTGGCAGGTTGGGTCTCTCGGCCAAGTTTCTGACCTCTCAGAGCCTCAGAGCTGGGGTAGAACAGGGCAGCCGCCCGGTGATGAGGTGAGACTTCAGTGAAGTGAAACGCACACCCTAAGCTTCCAAAATAATTAAGGCCCCACGCCCATCATCAGCGAGTTCCCAAGGTAGGTTTGGGTGGGAGCGTGATAGAGGAAGCTCTGAGCCTTTTCAGCTGGGCCCCCTCTGCCCTTCTTAGCCTGGCAAGTGATTGTTTCACCCAGTGTCATTTCCTCCAGCGTGCCCGCCTTCTCTGAACATGTCACCCTGAGCTCTGGGAAAGCGGCCCCTGTAGCAGTCCCTCTTGAAATCAGAGTCAGGCCCACTGCCTAACCCATAGAAGGTGCTCAATAGAATCTTACTAATCAGGGACTTCCCTGCTGCCACAGTGGTTAAGAATCCGTCTGCCAATGCAGGGCACACGGGCTCGATCCCTGGTCCAGGAAGATCCCACATGCCGCAGAGCAACAAAGCCCGTGGGCCACAACTACTGAGCCTGCACTCTAGGGACCGCGAGCCACAACTACCGAGCCTGCGAGCCACAACTACTGAGCCCGCGAACCACAGCTACTGAAGCCCACGAGCCCTAGAGCCCATGCTCCGCAACAAAAGAAGCCACCGCAATGAGAAGCCCGCGCACCACAACGAAGAGTAGCCCCCGCTCTTCGCAACTAGAGAAAGCCCGCATGCAGCAACAAAGACCCAACGCAGCCAAAAGTAAAATAGATAAATTAAAAAAAAAGTTATAAAAAACAATCTTACTAGCTAGAAAAAACTAGGAGATAATATTCCAGCTGATTTTTAAAAAAAAATACATTTATTTATTTATTTTTGGCTGCGTTGGGTCTTCGTTACTGCATGCGGGCTTTCTCTAGTTGCGGCGAGCAGGGGCTTCTCTTCGTTGCGATGCGTGGGCTTCTCATTGCGGTGGCTTCTCTTGTTGCGGAGCACAGGCTCTAGGCGTGCGGGTTTCAGTAGTTGTGGCACGCTGGCTCTAGAGCGCAGGCTCAATAGTTGTGGCTCACGGGCTTAGTTGCTCCACAGCATGTGGGATCTTCCCGGACCAGGGACCGAACCCGTATCCTCTGCACTGGCAGGTGGATTCTTAACCACCGCGCCGCCACGGAAGCCCCCTCCAGCTGGGTTTTGAAGGATGAGTAGAAGTTTGCCGGGGGAAGAAAGGAAGTGAATTCTAGGCAGGAACTACCTATTCTTTTAAGGACCCTCCCTAGCCCTGGTTCCATTTGTGCTCCAAGTCATAAAAACAGTGGTCAATGTTTATGGGTCAAGATACTATTCAAAGCTCTTTTACTTGTATTATGTCATCTAATCCTGACAATGTTACTTTTGAGTAGTATTTACTGAGCATCTGCCATGTGCCATACACAAGAAGGGCACCTAACCCACCAGGCAAGGTTAACCAAGTACACAAATAAGCAAGTACAATAGTGACAGACTGTGTTAAACGCTCTGAAGGAAAGAATCAGGATGATGTGATGGAGGGCAGCTGGGAGGGGGTGGAGCTGAGGACACACTAGATAACCCTGGGCAGAGCCCCTGGAGGATGAGAAAAAATCAGACACAAGAAAAGCCAGGAAGGGTTCAAAGCCAAGGCGGGAATTCCCTGGCGGTCCAGTGGTTAAGACTTGGCCTTCCAATGCAGGGGGTGAGGGTTCGATCCCTGGTCGGGAAGCTAAGATCCCACATGCCTCCAGGCTAAAAAAACAAAAAAACATAAAACAGAAGCAATATTGTAACAAATTTAATAAAGACTTAAAAAAAGAAAAGTGGAGGCAACAGCAAGTACAAGGTCCCAGAAGTTGGAATAAATTTAGAGGAAGGAAAGGAAGACCAATGTGGGTGGAGATGAAGGGACACAGGCTGGGGGGTGAGGCTGGGAATGGAGAGTGGGGGTAAGGGTGGAGAGGTGAGAGTGGTTTCATGGGGGTGAGGGTGGTCACCTTGACCCTCTGGTCTAGAGAAGTCACGAGTTCAAGATGGAGGCTGCACACACAGACCTGGGGAGCTGTATTTAAGGATATGCATCTGGGGCATGCCCAAGGTCAAGTGCAGATGAAGATGAGAGGAGCTCTGTGCCCTGTGGCTCTTCAAGTCCGCGGAGGAGGAGGGAGAAGCAAGGACACGGAGAAGAAGCAGCCGGTGAGGCGGGAGGAGAGCCTGAGGTTCTGGGGCCCCAGCGAAGAAGGGTCAGCAAGGAGGAGGGAGTGACCTGTGGTGTCAGATGCTACAGAAGCAGGAATAGGAGGCCCAGGACCCGCCCCCAGTGCTTAGCAGGGGGACATCACCAGTGACCTTGGTGAGAGCTGTGCTAGTGGCTGGGGAGGTGGGGGGCAAAAGCCTCACCAGAGTGGGTTCAACAGGAAGTGGGAGGAGAGAAATTGCAGACAGCACACAGAGGAAACTTCCAAGAAAATTGGTTAAAGAGATTGTCTTAGTTCAGGCTGCTGTAACAAAAATATCACAGGCTGGGCGGCTTAAACAACAGAAATTTCTCACAGTTCTTGGAGGCTGGAAGCCTAAGAGCAGGTGCAAACAGCTCTGGCTCCTGGGGAGGGCCTTCTTCCTGGCTTGTTGTCGGCTGCTTTCTCCCTGTGGCTCACGTGGCAAGAGAGATCTCATGTGTCTTCTTTCCCTTAGAAAGGCACCAGTCCCATCATGGAGCCCCACCCTCACGATCGCTAATAAATCTAATTACTTCCCAAAGGACCCACCTCCAAATACCATCATTTTGGAGACTAAGATTTCAGCTATGAATATGGGGGGACACAAACATTCAGTCCACAGTAGAGAGGAGACAAAAGTGGTGGTAAGTAACCGGGAATGTTGGGGTTTGAGAGATTGCTTTTTCTGTTTTAAGATGGGGGATTTTATCTTTATTTTATTTTTTAATTTTTGGCTGCGTTGAGTCATCGTTGCTTGCGCGGGCTTTCTCTAGTTGCGGCGAGCGGGGACTACTCTTCGTTGCGGTGCGCAGGCTTCTCATTGCGGTGGCTTCTCTTGTTGCGGAGCACGGGCCCTAGGGGTGTGGGCTTCAGTAGCTGCAGCACGCAGGCTCAGTAGTTGTGGCGCACGGGCTTAGTTGCTCCGCAGCATGTGGGATCTTCCCAGACCAGGGATCGAACCTGTGTCCCCTGCAATGGCAGGCGTATTCTTAACCACTGCGCTACCAAGTAAATCCCAAGATGGGAGATGTTAAAGAATGGTTGAGTGCTGATGGAAAAAAATCCAGAAGAAAGGATACATTGATGATTTCATGGGGTGGGGGGCAAGGACTGCTGGAGTGACATCCTCAAGTAGGCGGAAGTACGCCAGATGAATGCCCTAGTGTTGGGTTGACCTCAGATGGGGGCAAGGATGCTTCTTCCGCAGTAACAGGAGGAAAGGCAGAGCTGGGTAAAGCTGTTGCTGGATGGGTAGATGTGGAGGCAGGTGTGTCTGAAAACTCTCTTTGGATTGCTTCTATGTTTTCAAAAAAAGAGCAATGGAAGTCATCAGCTGAGAGGGAGGTTTTGGGGCGAGGAGGTGGCATTCTGACCAGAGGTGTGAAAACAATCACTTAGAAGATTGTTAGGCAGCCCCTGGGCTTGCTCAGAGTTAGGAGAGATGTCACTCGGGAGGAAGAACACTAAGGATTGTTAACTAGGTATCAAGGCTTGACTCCATGCTCCCAATGCAGAGGGCCTGGGTTCAATCCCTGATCGGGGAAGTAGATCCCACATGCATGCCGCGACTAAGAAGTCCACATGCTGCAACTAAGAAGACCGCATGTCACAACTATGAGTCTGTGTGCCACAACTAAGACCTGGCGCAGCCAAAATAAATAAATATTAAAAAAAAAAAAAAAGAACAGTAGCAACTTCAGGAAGTGGCTACCACTCCTAAGGTGGTCTTATTAAAATGGAGACACTTAAAGAACAGGGTCCAGGAAGCTGATACATGAGAAAGGGGTGCTGCTCAGCTGGGGCTGGGGTTTCTGGGGAGAAGAAAATGAGGCTGGTTCTACAAGCGTTGGAATAACTGCAAACTGTATTCAACTGCTGTTTCTGGAATGTTCCAACTGTTGCTACCAGGATGAAGAAGCAGGAGTAGGTGACACCAACAGAACAGGAACAAGCAGGAAGCAAACAGGGAGAAGTCTCTTCTTTCTCCAGCCTGCAGTCTCCCCTCTAGACCCCCGTTGAAAGAACCTGACCAGGTTGCAGGTGGTAAAGCAGAAACGTGGTTTGCAGTCAAGAACAGCAGGGTGGGGGCTTCCCTGGTGGTGCAGTGGTGGGGAATCCTCCTGC